TGTTTGAACAATCTGCTCTTTATGTCACCCTATATTCACAACATCCTAATCAAGTAAAAAGCTCTTCAATCAAGGCGTCAGTTTGTCGAGTCAACGAACAACGTATTTCTAGCGAGGCGCGATAAAAAGATAGGTGGATGCCAAAGGTTCGTTAACTAATGGGCCACGCAGGATGGTTAGACTACAAATATTTTAAAAAGAAAAATACTTATCGTTGGAATTGGTTGAGACGGAATTATTCTAAAAATATCTTGTTTTAAAAACAACTTTATTTTTAAAGATTTAAAGAAATGAAAATATCGATTTCGTCATAAACATTGCCTATAAATACGTTACATGCATTTCTATGCTAAACACACCCCTTTAGGAGACTTTCTATCTGTTGCATTTGCAAATGAGGTCTAAATGGAAACTGTTGGGGTTGCTTTGGGCGTGGTAACCACTCGATTGTTACGTGTTGATTTAATGAGTAAGTGTTGATATGTTTTGTAAATATTAAAGGTATAAAATTGGTTTATACAGAGAACAATAAGAATATAAATTTCATTGTTCTATTTAGTAAAGTACCTGCCAAAGAAAACATTGTGTAAACCACTATAAACTGAATGTTAACACCTAGAAAAAAAAATCTAAATTCTGATTTTACTAAATATGTAAAACCAAATAAAGAATGAAGTGAATTAACAATTTTATGGAGCAATAAATTATTAATGACATCCAGTGGTGGTCGTAGATATTCAGTAAATGGGACACGGAAACCGCGTAATCGAATTAAAACACGTTCGGTTCCGGTCCGTTCGTGAATTTTCATCCCCTATTTCCACCGACTATGCAGAATTAACGAGGGAGCGATTTACCTCTGAACGTCAGGGGTCGGTTGCACATTTCAAGACGACGAAACGACCAGAGATATCTTCGCCTTTTTCTGACTTTTCATCCTTACGCTATTCGAAACGACGTAGTCACGTTTGAGGTCACGACTGTAAAGGATAAGGAGGGAATAAATAATGAATGGAATACCTAACAAAAAAAGGAAGGTGGAATGTGGAAGTAAAAGATGGAACGAAATGCGATAAAAAAAAGGTTTTACTGTTACAAAAAATGTAACATTAAAAGTGATAAGAAAAAATTTAAGATGACATAAATGTAAAATTATTGTGCTATAAAAAAACTAGCATAAGATAATTATGCGTACGAAGACCGAAACGCCCTAACTTTTATGTTAAACTTGTAGTGATTCATAAAACGAATCATGATGCGTGCAAGGACTGTAAAAAAACTTTAAAAAAGGCAGGATATCCTCTTTTTCATTATAAAATTAAGTACCTTTCTGGTGTTGTACCTTTATGTTATAAACATTAAGTCTTAATAAAATGTATGAATTTTTTAAATTTAAATTCTTAAACATAAATAACATTAAACATAAATTAACATACATTTAATTTACATGGAATATCGATTTGTAGGAATTCTTTCTAATGTCCGTCATTTATAAAGATGTTTTAAAATCAACGACCTCAGAGAAAATTTTTTGGTTAAATATATATTATGTAAATATTATCTACAGGTGTCTCCGAAATGCGTGTACAACGGAAGACTACAGATTCCTTAGCTCAAAATAGGTCGATTTAAGTTATCTATATCCAAAGTTGCTTCGTTTCGCCGCTAGAGGACTTCAAAGTTAGCAAAAAAATTCTTTTACTTTTTATAACTCGAAAACGAGTAAATCATTTTTCAGAAGTGAGTTCCTAGGTTCAATTAACGTCTTTTTATGGTTTTTGATACAATTTTAGAAACACAGGAATGATGGAAATTTCATGTGTTCACCGGATATTACTCCATATTTTTTTTTCTGGCCAGGCGATAATTACATTATTATAATTTCTGAATAGTCCATTTAGTTCTAAACTGTTTTTGTCTCTTATAAGATTTTGATTACATAAGTGGTTAAGGCAGAAAAAAGGTATTTTTAAATATCTGCAAGCCTTGTTTACGTCATTGCAGTTACAAAAGTTACCTTATCGTAATTGGCAATGATTTCAACTAATTGCAATTTATGTTTAACGTGAATACACTTCTGAAAAATGGTTTCAATTGATTTACGCGTTTTCGAGTTATAAAAAATAAAAGAATTTTTTTTGCTAATTTTGAAGTCCTCTAGCGGTGAAATGAAACAACTTTGGATATAGATAACTTAACTTAAATCGACCTATTTTGAGTCAAGGAATTTGTGGTCTTCCGTTGTACATGCATTTCGGAGACACCTGTATATTATTATATTATATATATTACGTAAAACAGTAAAACCTCGATATAACGGATTAATACGGGGAAGGGATTATAGCCAAAAGTCCTAAAAGGTCTTGAAAATTGCCTTGCCAATGGTACTGACGTTGCTGGAGTTCTCAGAAATTCTTTGGTGATTTTTGACAAAATGGGATAAATATCTTAATGCCGTTTCCACCAATCCAGTATATATCCTCCTCAAAACTATTTTCTAGGGGTTCCCCTAAAGATTGTTCTATTTCTTGTCTCCAGGGATCTATCACAGTCACAGTGGCTTCTTAGTTTTTTTAAATAGAGATGTTATATGGACCGCGTTATACATCACTTGACTAAACAACATTTTATCGTTTTTAGAGATTTTCATGCTGTCTGGTAGGTAAAGGTGTAACTTATCTTAGAAAAAATGCAGAATACCTAAAGACCTAAAATACCATTTGTTTTATACGATTTCAAGTACGATTTGCATCATACGTCTAAGAACCGACTTAGATACGAAACTCAGATACACCAAGAAATTCTACAATAACAAAAATAGGTTAACCTACAATTTTGGACCAGCGTCGTTTTCGAGATGTTAGTATAAAATTAAAAGTTTATGTTTTTTATTTTATATAGAATTTAAGTCTAACCGGTTTCGACCCTTAGCCATTTTCAGAGACTCTATAAATAGATTAACATCTCTCATCTTATCCATGTTACAAACGACAGCGGTAGGTAGTGCTAGTTAGCATAAGATATCACTATGTAACATATTTTTATTGCACTAAAACTAGAACGAGAACTAGAAACAATCGGGTTTAGTCGTGACAAAAACTTTCAGTTGTCAATGTCAACGTTAATTTTATTATTATATTCGCAATCTTCATAAAATAACCTTTAAAGGGAGCCCAAACTTGACGCATTTATCTCAAAAAACCAAAAAGTTCGAACTGTCAACTTTTAATTTTGACATATTTGTCAACTTTATAAAAAATCCTTTAAAATGAGTCCAAACTCGACATATTTAACTTTAATATTAATGGAAATACAATCACTTCCGGTTTGAAACGTCAACGTTAATTTTGACATATTTGTCATCTTCATTAAAAAACCTTTAAAATGAGTCCAAAAATGAGGCACTTATCTAAAAAAACAAAAAAGTTTGAATAAAATCATTAAACCCGAAGTTAGCAACAATGAAGATAGCAATTTAATGTTTAAATATTAATACCAACCTTAATTTTTTTTACAAATATTTTGTGACAAATATTAAGACATTTTATAAAAATTAAGAATATGTCAAAATTGACGTTGACATACTTAACCGGAAGTTGACCAAAACTTCATTAATATTGAAGATAAATATGTCGTGTTTGTACTCATTTTAAAGGACTTTTAATGAAGATTACAAATATGTCAAAATTGAGGTTGATATTTTAAACCTGAAGTTAGTCATCATATAATAGAAGTTTTATAACTGAAGCTAATCTAGTGTTAGTCACTTTTCAGAACTTTCTGTTTATTTTTAACGTGTTTTTTGGGTCATATCGCATTAATTTAAAAAAAATCGTCGATTTTTAAGCCACATGATTCTTGAATTTTTCACAAGTTTCTTAATATTTCTTTTGTTAAAAAAAAGCGTTCTTAAATTTCATTTTACAACTTTTTAAACTTTAATTTTGTAAATTAGTAACTTATTAGTTTTGATTTCGACTTTGATATGTGATCTTTTTTAACGAAAGAAAAAGAAATATTAAGAAACATATTTGTAAAATGTTTGTAAAAATCTACTTGTAGAGTCTTTGAAGGTGGCCAAGGGCCGAAACTAGTTACACTTAAATTCTATATAAAATAAAAACCAGTTTAAAAGTACAAAATCAAACTCTAGATTATTTTCTTCAAAAATGTTTACACAAAACATCATTTTGACTCTAGTATTTGTGATTAATACATCGTCATTCTCATTATTTGAGGGGTTTGATTTTGAAAATCGTCGGCAAATTTATTAAAATAATCTTAAACATTTTGTCCGTTATATACGAAATTCGTTTTTAAGAAGGTCCGTTATATCGACAATTTACTGTAAATACAAAAAATTAAGTACAATCAATTTCCTTCTTAAAGAAACCTTTTGACCATGAAGGTCCAACCGATTACTAACAAACTCATTGTCCTTACATAAGTATTAATAAACGTAGTAATATGATTGTTATAACGGTTTAAAGCGAGGTCTTTCAAAAAGATATACCGATATAATTAAAGGTAATTGAAAGATCCTTGCCGTACGAGATTAAAAACTTCTTTTAAAACTTTAAAAACTTATCTTAATCTTAAACGCTATGGAATTACTGAATCTAATCCAACATTACCAAGATGTGTTTGAGACAGCTTAAAAATAGCCAAGAAAATTGTTTTAAAACGCTTAAACTTTATTTTAGTCATTTTTTGGGTTGTTTAAACGAACCGTATCTAATTATAAGTGTTTTTAAACAATTAACTTTGATCGTATTGTTCGTCGTTTCAAGCGAACCATACAACCGCCCGTATTCGAGAGAACAATACTGTTTTATACAAAACTGCGACACCATCGACATGGAGAAATAACCCTCTCTTCACACCCGGATGAGTTACAGCGGTCGAAACGAGTGTTTGGCCAAAAAATTAACTTACAGTGACGTTCAACACTTCGCAGGTAAACGCAATTAGCGACAGATAAGTTATGGAAAGTATTTTCGAGTGACTGAGTCGTGCCTAGACCATCGGCGTAAAACGCGTGCTAACAACATTGAAAAATCGTGCGCGCCTAGAAAATACTTATTTCTATTTTATAGCACGGGGAAGGACGAAAATGTTGTTTGCGTATATTGTAAAATTGTTCAGTTGAGGTATAACCGTACATGTAACAAGTATAACCGAAAAAAAAAGAGTTGTAAGAAAAATCGAGTGTTATCAATAACTTTTAAATAAACACAAAAAGGAAGTGTGGTGTTAAAAAAGGTGTTTTATTTTGAATTAAACCGTAAGTATTTTTTCTTTGAATTTTATAAATGAAACGCAAAATGTAATAAATTAACTCAGTAAATATATTCAAGTAATCTAAATGCAGAGAGCAATTTGTATGTGTACTTCGTGAACTCATCTCGTATATGAACCATCTGTAAAATAATGCTGTATGTGAGAATTATTCAAACGTGTAAAGTTTGTAACATTTCCGGACTTAATTGAGGCAACTTAAACGTCTCGTGTTCGTATAAATGCTTTATTGAATGAACTTAAACCGATACCTTCAAGAAATAAATTAAGATAAAATGATCTTTTTAAACACAATATTTTTGGTGGAAAGTTAAGAATTATTTTTAGAAGATTTTATGCTTCTATAAATAAATTTAATGGTTTAAATAATTTTAAGAGGTTGTTAAATAGCTCGTTTAAAACCTCTTGATGTATAAAAAAGTCTGACTTATTTTTAAATTAAATTCACCCGACCGAGAATAATATTTTCTGTATTTTAAACAGAATAATATCATAATTTTTGAAATAATCTTTGAAAACAAATAAACCATTTGTAATTGCTCCAAAAATATATTATGATGTATTCGATTTTGAAGAAATATCACTCAACAATAATTAGTGGGGAATTAAATTGCTTGAAAGCATTCAAAGGATTACGTAGATATTGTTTAATTTTAAATTAGGATTTAGTTGCTATGTGTTTTTTTTTTGCTTTAACAACTTTGTGAATAAAGTTGTTGATCGCTGATTATATAAAGATTATCTACGTTTTGGTTATTTAAAAAAGAAATTTTTTTTTATTAGTTCTAACATGTTTTAAAAATCGAAATCACATTTGGAAATACACTATTTGATCTTGGCCTATCAATTCTTCCTTCAATCTGCTAATCGACAATATTACAGAAGAATGTCTGCTACGACTTACAAAAACAACTTTACAAGTTCTACCAAGTCAGCAAAGAACTGAACATGCTGGTCTCTACTGATAAAACCAAATGCATGATGATAACAAAGGAGCTAATAAGGTGCAAATTGGTCGTTGAAAAAACTCACATCGAGCAAATCATGCAGTTTGTTTACCTGGGCCAAATTTCCAGCTACAATTATCCTGTTAAAGACTTAAGATCACAAACTAATAAGGCAGCAAAGTTAGGATATATAAGACGTGCATCCGCCCGATAATGTCCAACGGGATCGAAGTCCACGAGGAGACAAACAAAACCAAGAGCCTACTAAGAACAGCTGAGATGAAAACATTAAGATCCATATTGGGAATAACAATAATGGATAGAATCAAGAACGACGACATCAGGGAAAAGTGCGAGATACAAGATTTTGTCAGATGGGGAAGATAACGGAACAGAGCGTGGCACGATCACGTAAACAGAATGCCAAATAACAGTTTGCCCAAGGCTGTCTTGATATACAACTCCCCAGGCACCAGACAGATCACCAAAAATATGGCGGGATAGTCCCTGGACATAACACGAAGGCAAAACCAGACTATCTATATCTATGGTGTAAGAAGAAGAAGAAGATCTTGGCCTAATTGAAAATTATTTAAAATTAGGTTCTTATTTACAATTATTTTAGAAGTTTTTTGGATCGCTATAAAATAAAATAAGGTTGGAATTTCTCGGTATGATTGCGAGTTAAATAACAATTATGAGTTGAATGTCAACATAAAATTACATGAATTTTTAACCAGAAAGTAATTTGCATAGATAAAATATCAAATGGAGTTCAATATGCATGAAAGACGATTGTTGTTTTTCAACTGATGAAAATATAAAAAAACATACAAAACGATTAGTTCGTCAAAATAGTGCATTATTTAATGTACATATTTAAACATACTTGCAACATTAATAATATATTTAACAAACAACTTTAAGAAAACATATAAAAATATTTTAGCAAATCACAAATAATGTTATTAATAGGCTGAAAAAGAAATATATAATAAATAGCATCTTTTAGTTCTCAATAAATCACATAGAACACAATTTAGTTACAAATAATTAGAGAGTTTCTAAAATTCTAAAAAAATACGAAATACTTCTCTTATTATATTAAATTATATTGAATAATTAAAAATGAAAAAGGTAAATTGTGTCAAGGAAAAAGAGAGTGTCTTAACACTTATGGTGTCCTAACCCTTTCCAATATGGCAATTAAACGTTTGTTTCGGGTATTAATATCGTCATAATAACTGAGAGGGCCATTATGTTTGATAATGGCAGAAAGATTCGAATATCTATTCGGTTTTGACGTTTCTGAATTGAACAAACTTAGAATTATATGACTAAGCAATATAATAACAATACAACAAGCAGAATGTTTTCGATGAACAATTCGTCAGTGATTTTGTACAACGTGATCGTTCAATGTAGCTAAAACAACACGGACCAAGCCAACTTTGGAAGGTTCAATATCTCTCCTTCAGCCCAGAACGTCTATGTAACTAAAAAAGTTGTGGCAGCTTCGTAGACATCAATTAGGTGATGTACCAGGATGCTGGAGCACCCATTCAAAGTATCTGCCACGTCTTTTGGTCAAAGATGAAACTGTTGAGCGTTGACTGTGAATTGCGTTTAGCCTACAGTCATACTTTTCTGAACCTCAACAACGAATTGAACAATTTGCAACAAAAACCAGAAGTGACGAGGCCAAACAAAGCCAAAGTAATACACAAAGAGTCAATACAACCAATTAAACTCATTGCATGGTGTGGTCGCTACACCTTATCAACTGTAATTGCAATTCACAGTTCAATTGAATGATTTGAGGCCAGTGAACATGTATTTCCAGCATGATGGAGCATCAGCGCACATATTGCAGAAAGCACAGCCCACATTTCTAAACCAGACGTTTTCCGGTCATCAAATCTTGTATTTTGGCAATTTGTAGTGACTTGCAAGATCACCAAATTTGACCGCCATACATTTCTTTCTGCATAGTCATTAAATGTCGCAAGCGAAGAAAAGACAGACACTACCAGTCAAGAAGGAGAACATTCGTCGAAAACATGCAAAATGCCCTAAAAAGAGCTTAAGTTGTTATCAACAAAGGCGGCAAACTTAAACTATATCATTTGCAAAACATGAAACAAAACTTAAATGTCCAAATAACATCAAAACACGCATGAACTTGATTCAAATTGTTTAGGCATTTGCTTTCCAGAACTTTCAACGCTGATTGTAAACAATTTGAAAATCTTCCTAATAAAATGTGTTCTTCCTAAATTACTTTTCTTCCAATTGTTCTACGCACTAACCTAAAAGTTAGGTTAAGAAAACTATAAACGCTCGTGATTAATCACCTAAGTGTAGTTTAATCTTATCATGCTTATTTCAAAACCACAAATTCTTTTTAGATATTGTTAAACGTATACGAAGAAATTTTCGGGGCAAATTTCAATATACATTTAATTGTAGAAAAGATATAAGATGGCTTTATCGACTTGATAATTATTATTATAGATCCTCCATTATGTCTAATGCCTCTAAACGAACTGTCTATTCTACTAATAAAGCCATAATTAGTAATTTATTGAGTGTAATCTCCTATAAAACGTATTCCGGTATAATTTCGACGTCAATGCGATAAACACGAAAATTTTAATAATATTTTGCACTAAAATAAGGTATTTTTCAGCGATTACGCTGTATCGGAATTTATAACAATGAAAAATGACAATGACTGTAATGAAGGATATAAACTAAAGATTGAAAGTGTGGCGAAAATAATAGAAATAATTTTTTTATAATTAGAATTTTCTATACAGTCAACGAAAATGAAACGATGTACACTTAAAAAGCCCATTAAATAGTGAAAGTTCACAATAAAAAATGAAAATTTCGCTGAAAGGGTTCGGACGTTATCCAAATGTCGTGGATTTAATCAATAAATTCGAACGTGTCGGACAATTTACTGATGTATTCGTATTCCTTCAGCAAGGTCAAATGAAAACACATAGTCTATGTTGCCCAGTTTCTTTTTGATTAAAACTAGACTCTTTTTTGGAGCTACATGAAGGATAAAGATTCACTGAACAGCTTAAAACCAAGATCAGAGAAGAAATTTGTAAACTAATCCTAGAAATGTGCGAAAACGTGATTAAAAGATTCTTTGAAAGAACGACCATTAGCAAGTTTATAATTACTGAAAAAAGAAAAGAATTCAACGTCTCGCGGCGTGATAAAATTTATATTGCAGCGCTTTCATTCAATTTACAACTTTTATTATTAAACAAAATCAATAACGATAAACTTTTCGCTAATAAATCATCTAGATAATAGTCAATGAATGGTGTTTATTGATTTAATGTATTGCGACTTCCCAAATGTTTTTCAGTGCGAGTAATTTTCTTTACAATATATGAAACTAAATATTGAAGATTATAAAAAGGAAAAAGAAAAATCATCACATTTTGAGTTTCCACGAAGTTATAATACATAATATAATTTTATTGGAAATTAAAAACCCCAAAGATAGAATTCTAATGGTGTTAGAATGATATTGTATAGCTACCATGATCTTGGCGACCCCAACGCGATATGATACGTCCAGAAAGCTCTGTTATTTCCGTAACAATATAATAGGTTGTACCATCTTGTGGAAACCAAAACCAACAGCAATAGCTCTGCATTAGATGAGTTTGACAAAAAAAAAATTGGTTATCATGTTGCGATAACAAAGACCATTGCTCGCTTTACTTGCAGCTTTTGTTCTTTAAGAAATACGAGTTAATGACTGCCAAAATCCAAACCTCACAGTCAATCTATGTGCATGTATGAGTTGTTGATGCATAATTCATTAATTTTGAATCTCCTAAAGTAACAGTTCTGTTTGTTGACAAATTTATCTTTTAATATCATGAATTCACTGGAAACCCCAATTATGATGTAAGTTCATTTCTCACAAAAAGATGTTGTATTACAAGGGTTCATTTTATTGAGAACGTCAACGAATCGAGGTGGGTGCACATTCATGTACACTTCATTTAACCATCTTTAACATCCTGAATGAAATCAATAACAATCTCAAATTTCTTGAATAAATTTATCATAGACAACTAAAAAAGCAACTGGTGCGAATGTGGTGTACTGTTGCCTCATGAACCAGGACATATTACTTATTTTCGCCCAAAAGAGATATAAAAATCTCGTTGTACGACATATAAGAATTGCTTCGCTCTACACCGCTGAACATTGAGGCCACAACTCGTGGTCACGTTTCTAAATTGTCTGCAGACTGATGATGATGACCGAAAGCTATGGAATATTTTCGGATGATCCTGAAAAATTCTTGCCATTTCGGCCTTAACACAACCTTAATGGTAACTATGAAATATTACCTTATGTTTAACATGAAGCATATTTCGAAAAAAATAATAAAAAGGTTTTAGTCCCCAAGATGCAACGTGAATTTTGTTCGGAATAGTTACGATAATTTTATTTATTCATAAATCCATACAGTTTAAAAGCCGCTTCATATGAGAAAAAATTGTAACTGCTGAAGTTTGCCCATAACAAAATTTAACACGCCTCTCTAAATTGCCGTTTAAAAGTTTGTGTAGACAAATGAGGCTTTTCATGCAAAGACAATAACGTATCTGTATGATGCTTCTTTCTATTTTTGGTCATCATCTTCATAGTTACCATAGCAACGATTCTCCCCATATTAACAAGTTCAAAAAAATATCTTTTGGTTTATTTAATCCATTAGCTGAGTATGCCACAGTTCTATGACCTGAAGCTTTTTCCTTATACAAACAAATTTGCAACGAATGGGTTAAGTTTGATTAAATTTTACAACAAATTTAAGTTCAAAACTTTGTTTAGTCAGAAACAAAGTTATGTTAATATTTGTTTAAAAAAATAACCTAAAATCGAGATTTTTAGAAAATTTCACACTCCTATAAATAAATAAATTTTATAGTTGTAACTTTTAAATCCTAATTTTTACGTAACCTAAATTGGTTCCTACTTTTTCAATTCCTAGAAAATAAATTATCCAATTAAAACTTAAACTAGACGGCACACTAATTTCCTAATTACCACCGACCTATTAGAAAAGTGAAGAAAGCGTGCAACTGTACCCCATTGATCATCAATTAAATATATTAGCGAAGATGCCGTAATTAAGAAGATGAAAACGACTCCGTTTAAACGACTCAAATTAATGCAATAATTTAAATGTTATAACTAAGTTTAAAAAAAATTTTACGTAATTTTTAATGTCGTTAAGATGTATTTAAATTTTCGTTCTTGACAACGATTAGTGTCGTAACCGACAGATGAGTTGCGACACGAATCTTATTATCTATTTACGACAATTAATTGCGCAAAATGTCGCGGAAAGAATGTTTATTTTCTCCACGTTTAAAATCAACCGAAATAAATTATATATTACAACATTTTCATTGGAATTAATTAAATATTTCTTTGAAATTTTATTTATAACATATAAATCGGTTTGCTTGTTGAGTACTTTTCAATTAATCCAACATCCCCTGAGACCATCACACCACCTCAAACTTTTAATTGGATTTCGACTCTCTCACGATACATTATTACAGCAGACCATCGGTTTCAAGTTTAAATGGGGAAAGAGGAAACTTTCGGCTAGCACGCAAAATCGAATTGATAGTTAATACTCTCAACGGGGATTAATTTTCAATGTAAAGTCCAATTTTCATCACTTTGAGGACACCCGTAATTATTATTGGATAGTTATTAACAAAACAGCGTCGTTCATCAACCACATCCGGTGCGGTCAAGTTAATTGTACGGTAATCGTTGACATAAATCGAGCTGTCAATGATGCCAAAACCAGTGATGCCAAACTACAAATTATCTCTAGCAGTACATTTAATCATTGTTTATGGGTTAATTTAACACCGAAAGGGTTATTTGACAATTTTCCCCAACACGAAAAAAAATCGATTGGAAATTATTTACTGGCGTGATGTATTAGGGAGTTAACACATAAATCATTCGGGAGATTTAGTGCGTGAAAGCATTAAAGTTGTTTGTTTGGTGGTGATTTCTTTTTTGGGGGGTTGATTTTAACTTAAAACCAGAAAGTAAGGTTTTGTGACTCAACTCTTTCAAGGTGTTGCAATTTTTTTGGCACGTATTTTAGTATGACTTAAAACTATTTTGTACTTTAAAGTCGCTTATATCGAGATTGACTGTATAAGGAAAATAAATAATAAAAAATGAAAAAAGAAAATGAACATGATTTTTATAATGTGTTCCAAGGTTTGCTCACGCGAAACTCTTTAACCTTTTATATACCATATTACAAAAGCATGGGGAGGTCAGCAACATTTAGTTTTTATACGAATCGTGTTTCTGAATTCGTTGTGTTCTGAAAGAGCAGTGTTTTATGGGTTTTCTTTGGAACTATTTGAGTAGCTAGAAAATAAAACGCTGACTTATAACTTTCCATTCATCTAAACGACCTACATTCAACGATTTAATTCCATTATAATAAAATAGTATAAAAACAAAAAAATCATTTCGATTTATTCATCCACGAAATGCGCTCGTTAATTATTAAAATTAAGTGATCATTGAAAAAATGTGGTTCAGGGTTGAATTATTATCAGGTTTTTGTTTAAACAGCGCCGAATTGTTTTATGTAAATTATTTAACATTGACATTTTTACGTTCTACTTGAAAACCGCTTTCAATCCTCCCATAAATCGCAATATTGATTTACCCTTCAGTTTTTAAAGTGTAGTTGAACGAGGGCACTTTAAATTCGCATTTCATAGAGTCGATTTTGATAAATTGTGTGCGAATCCGGTTAAATATGATTATTTAACACGATAAAATTGAAACAATCTCTTTAAAAATAACATGTACAAAAATAAATCAGCCACTTCCAATGATTTTCATCCTAATAATACCAATTTCCATTATCTCAATAAAATATTGACTTTCTTAGAGAGCAATTTACTCAACCCTTTTATGTCTCCATAGCGCAAGTTAAACGTCCCATCAGTTTGAAAAGCCCTTTTTTAAAGAATCTTGAGAATCCCACTTTAACTTGCACGTTCTTTTTGTCACAGGGTGGAAAGAGAGGCCTGTTTAAACAACTTAAAGTTGAGCTCTCCACCGCCGCAACCACCGTCGGCATTACAAAAAGACGGGGGTGCCACATACCGAGTCGAGGGGCGAAGGAGCCGCCCCCAGCAACAGCTTGTTCAACGTGGAAGAAAACCACCTAGAGGTAGTTTGGAAAATGTCTCCAGTAAACCTTTAGTGGGTGACTTCGTGTATGACGTTATCGACGACCAAGAGGAATTAAGTTTAAGAAGAAGTAGGAGCCTTGCACTTATTAGGGAAGATACTTTTAACAGTTTAGAAATTCCGGCGGCCGTCGGACAACAAAGGAGGTCGCAACTTATCCCTAGAGCTAAACTCATAGATAGAAATTTGAAGGATAATAAGTAAGTTGAAACCAATTTAAAGGAACTCATTTACATTTTAAATTGGGTTTTGCACCTCCAATTTAAATTGTAAATGAAGTTCTTATACAGTAGCTTTATTTGAAGTCATCCTTTTCTCCCGATTTTCAGGTTCTTAACAAAAGGTAAAAGCCAAGAATCTATATACAGCGACCTAAATATTCCAAAGAAACGAAAATCAACAAAATCTGAAAGTAAAGAGACAGCCAGCGAGGGTGATATCTACGGGGAAATCGATAGTTTTGGTCCAAAAAGTATCGACAGCTCAAGTTTGTGTCACGGAACTGAAAAGAACTTTTCGTATTCTGAAATCGGATTAAGCCTCCCAAGTTATTATCGACCACCGTTACCAAATAATTTTAATTCTGACACAAATTGTGAAACCGACATATCTTCACTAGCAACCTCCGAAGATAAAACCAAAGAGATAATCGATTTTAAACGAGACGAACCCATCCAAAATAATAACTTAGATAGCATCCCTTACGATGAAAACATCGTTTTGAGTAAAAACACGCCGTTGTACGACTCGATTGGAGATTACTACGCCAAACCATTCAAGCCAAAAACGATTCGAGGTAACCCTCTTGTGTATAACCCCCCTTCAGAAGTTAATACAAGAAGCGTCCAGTCAACCTACGATTCGGATTCAACGCTATCCGAGTGTATAAATCACGATCGCCATTCAGAGTACGTCGAATCCGATACGAATTTCGATGAGATAAAATTGAGCAACGAAAATATAAAACTTGTCCATGAAGACAAAGTAACGGATAACGTTATATACGACTCTGAATGTTCAAACATCGAAAATAACCCGATTTACGACGAAATTACAAAAACAACTCACGTAAAAGAAAAAGATAAATCATATTCTGCACCGGACGTTACTAGAAAAGATCTTACCTGGACGAAGAAAAAATTCAAAGAATCGCCCATTTTAAGAACTTTTGTTAAAGTCCCACCACCCGAAGATAAAGAATCTACCACCAGTTCGGAAGAATACAAGACCATCGTAAGTATCGAGACAGACGATAAACTCAGCAGTTGTTTTAGCTCGACCAATTCCATCCACGAATCGAAAAAACATAGTCATAACTATCTCAAAGAGTTTTTGGAGTCGCAAAGGGGGTCAAGAAAACCGTTACAAAACTTTTTATCCAAGCGAATTTCAAGGGCTTTCTCAAGCAAACCAAATTTATCTGAAAATCAATACCATTCCTTACCTGACATTTCAATTAGTAAGAACTTGCGAAAAAGTGAGAAAATTGATCGCAAATTAAGAAAGTTGGAACCTAAAGTCCCCCAAGAAACCACGAATCGATTTATCGTTAACATAGGAAGACATTTCGACGTGACAGCTCAAAGTAACGTTCCAGTCGATTTTGAAGTCAAAATTTCAAAAATTTCGAAATCAAAACAAAAAGAGAAAAAAAAGCCACTTCTAGACGATCGCGAAAAAAACTTTTTAGAAGCAGTCAGAACGCTGAAACAAACTTTAGGTAACAATTCCGATGAAAACCAAAACCTTACAAAACCCGAAATAGTAGCTGTTAAAACTAAACACGGTATTAACCAAGAAATAACAAACTTATCGAAACGAAGAAACGGATTTCAATTAAAATCGACTAAACAACAAGAAAACAATAAAATCATGGAGAAAGTGCCAGAAAAACCTAAAACCAGTGTGGAAGAGGAATACCAAGAAAAAGTAGGGACAATAAGAAATTATTGGGACAAAATCTTATCAGGAAACGATCCAGAAAAAAGCAATGAAAACAAATCGTGCAAAATCGTCGAAGTAAAAACGAAAATAGATGAGGTTAAAAAAAAATTCGAGCAAGAAGATTTAAACGAAATCCCAAGCAAAGTTCAATTAGCAAAGAAAATTTTCGAAAAATCATCAAAAAACGATAGAAACGAGAAATACTCAACCTACATCAAAGAATGTAGAGATATCTTTGAAAATCCTTACTTTGAACGAGATCATCAATACGAAAGCTTAAACCCCAACATCGTTGAAATCGTGGATAAGAAGCGTGAAGAGAAAAACGACGAAGAAAAACAACAAGCTCCCAATTCAGGTAATCATAAACCCGTTTTTAAATCTAAAAGTGTTATCGAAGAACCGGAATTTGACCACGTAAGATACAGAGTATTGAAATCCGATGTTTTCCAGAAAAAGATTTACGCAAACTGTGAAAAGGAGTCGCAATTCGAAGGATTGATGCAGTACCTTCAAGATTTCAGTTTCCACGAGCTGCTCATCGACAACAACATTGTTATTATCGAACCGATTCGGACCAATGTCAAATTTGAACCGAAGAAACCAAAAACGACGAGAAATGTAACACCTTTAATACATAATAAAAAAGATGAAGAAAACGGGAAAAATTCGTCGCTAAAGCGGCGATTTTTTTATCACCCGATTCGGGTTAACAGAGAGGTTAACGACAACGAACTTCCAAATCCTGATACGGTTAAGCAAGTTAGGGAATTATTCGAAGCCGGTTTAATCAGATCGCAAAGTACGAAAGAACTGGCGGATGAAGTTCATTCCTACAAAACCGATCCCGATAAAGACAGATGTTCAACGACCGAAACTAATTCTTCAACTTCCGTTTTATCCGATTACGGAAGCAACGAGAATTTATTTGAATCAATTGAAGATATGTATTACGACACGCAATATGTAAGCGAAGATATTTTAGAAAAAATTCGCGATCAAGGTACATCAATTACTTATTATGGTGGAAGAATTTTAAATAAATATAATGGAAAATCTGACAGTTTAACTAAAGCCATTATGGATGAAATTCGTAAAAATCAAACCATGGAAGATTGTAATTGCAAAAAGATTAAAACCGTTACGTTTATTGAAAACGAAAAAAAAGATTCTTATAAAGGAATAAAATTTCGATTGCTAAAATCAAATAGTTGCAGCAGTAGACTTGAATTGGTTGGAACAAAAAATAATCATAATCAAGATTTGAATCAGAATCTTAATCAAGATTTAAATCATAATTTAAGTTATAATCAAAATTTAACTCAAGATGTTAATCAAGATGTGAAAAAAGATGTAAATCATAATGGAAAACAAGATGGAAATCAAAATGTAAATGAAGATGTGAATCAAGATTTAAATCAAGATTGTTTGAATAAGGAAGAAAATTTTATTGAGAATTCAACCATTACTTTAAAAAATAATTCCAATTTAACATCAACAGAAAAAAATAATATAAACGAAAATATAAAAATAAAAGAAAACGAAAGTAAAACGGGAAATAAAATTAAAAACAATAACAACAGCAAATTACAATTTGATTATAACTTAGAAGGAGTGAGAAAACCACCAAAAAATGACATGGAATTCGAACCATATGAAATAGCCGATAATTAATAACGATAAATTAACAACGATTATTATTTTTATTATTATTTTTAGTGTACATAATTTTTATTAATGTTATTATCTTCCCCTATTTTATCACGCAATGTGTATTTAGTTATGGAAATAACTTACTGCATTGTTATCTAACTAAATAAATAGAAGAGAAAGTTATTAAATGTTATTATTAAAACAACAAGAGTTTTTATTTATTTTCCCTTTTTGTTATGCATACAGTAGTCTTCAATAAAAAATAATAAAAAGTGAATGGACCATAAAATATGTAGTGGAGATTTTATTGCGGGTTGCTTTTCTGGAGAGGGTCGAACAAAAATATTGAATAAAAAGGGATTTTATGTTTGTATAGAAAGATACAGAAAACATTAATATAATAGAGTAAACGGACTTTAGATATAACGGACAAAATATTTTTATTAAGCTATACTATTATTATCTATTTAATACATTAGTATATTTAACCCTTGCACGACCAAGACTGGGTCAATAATGACCCGAAAACAATAATTTTTTACATAGCATACGAAATCAAATTTGATGCTGTTGTCTTTTCATATATTCTCTAGTATTATTATTCTCATGTGATATGCAATTAGTTTTTACTTTTATATATTGGGTCATAAATGACACAATTGTGCTTCTCGCAAAAAATTTAACATTCCTTGGGAGTGTTCGTAAAAATAAAAAGGGTTTATCAAAAATGTTATTTGAAATAAATAATCGACCTCTTTATTCATCACGTTCCTTATTTACAAAGGAGATAACTTTGACCTTTTGGACAAATTCATTCGAGAATATAGTTGCTGCAGAACTAATTTACTAAACAAATTTACATTGTTTATGAGTTATTTGGACATTACGGCATACAATGCGTTTATTTGGAATAAAAAAGTATTGATTAGACTGGAAATGTTTCTGCCAAAAGAGAAGGAAAATGTTCTTACAGGAACTATGCATGTCGCTTATCCAACCAGATATAAATCGAAGAGCATCAAATATTGAAATAGATGGAAAAGGAATACCAAATAGTGTAAAAATTGCAATTGGAAGTATAGTAAGAAAGATAAGATACTGGTGTCCCGAACCGCCAGCAACCCAAAAGTAGGGACAATATAATCAATGTCGAAGAAGTGACTTAAGTCATTCTATAAAGTGTGATACCATAGTACAAAAATAGTAAATGTTAATTGTACACACTGTAATGAAGATGAAGAATAACAAGAAGCTCCCGGCTTTAGTGCGTTATATGATTATGATATTCAATAATTTTGTTTTAATCTTAATCAAATTAATCTTTTAAAAAATAAGGATTTCAGGAAAATTTCTCACCTTAAAAAACATACTTAATATTAATACAAACCTGGATTATGTACGAAAACTAGATTAATCATTGAAAATTATCAATAAAGATAACCCAAATATAGAAAAATAAACATAGCATAAATCATTCCTGTTAGTATTTTTAGTCATATTAATATCCGTTTGAAATTCCGATAAACCCAAGCTAAGTAAAACGATAAAAAAGCAAAAAAATACGACACATTTTTAAGCACACAGATTTTTTTAACTCCAAACATTCACGTCATTTATTTTATGGTAGAATAAAAATAAAAAGCAGTTACGTCATTCCATTTTAAACCATAACACATTTTCATTTAAGTACTCTTCCCATGTTCACGCTAATTTAAAAAAATAAATATATTGTTTTCATAATAAAACTCGTTTCAGGATGATAAAAGTATCGCCGTAACTGCAAATTGGGCCCATATTTTGCCCTAGGTTTAAATGCAAATTAACCTCGCCAAAAAAAAAACAAAGCACACTAAACTTGGCGATCTTTCGATATTGAGCACAAATGGGGCACCTATCTAATTTATAACGCCCATAAACTCGATCAGTACACAATGATGCTGTGCTAACGAGAAATTCGGAAATTGCTGGTGGTGGTGTAGCGGATGGTGTGTTCTCGTAAATTATCAAATTCCGATTAAAATGTAAAGCTTATCGCTTTGTGGTGTTTATACCACAAATGATAAATAAACGATTAGTAAAATTATGTTTGTTTAAATTAAAATTTTCTGCTAAATCGTTAGATTTATTTTAATTTGGTTACAATAAATTGATTTTTTTAATACTTTTAAACTTACCTTCATCTTCCGAATCGCTATCACTACTACTAGTGGAACTACTCGATGATTTTCCTTCTAATTTGGGTTTATTTGTGTCGTTGATTGGTAAAGTTGATGTGAAAGTCCTACAATGTCTCATTTTTCTAAAATGCACACTCTGCAACAAAACAAATAGAAATAAACAACGTAAACAAAAATTTTTGTATTATTTTTTCCTTCAATATTAATAAAATTTGACTCGAGTCTCAATTTTTATGTTGTTTTTATATTATCCTTTAATAGTCAATAGTAATACCTTAAAGTTTAATTACTTCAAATTTGTTAGAAGTAATAAAAATAGAAGTAGCCATGAATAACTATGGTAATCAATTGTTTTAAACAATTTCCTAAGTGTAAAAACGTGATTTAGGGCCGGTTGTACCAACTCCCGACAAATTTATCCGATAGATAAATTGGCGCACTTAGCCAATGAGAGCGCTTAAAACCGCTGTATCCATGGTAATTATCCGTTAAATAGTTTATCGGGAGGTGGTACAACCGGCCCTTAGTAAATCTTCTTGGGAACGAATAGAAATTCTGTGTCTGATTATGAGTAGTTGACCTCTCTAATGCGACATATCCTTTTTGCCAACCCATTAGCCAAAGTGTGGTAATCCGAGTTGTCACTAAATTTAAAAACTATGAGCATGTAGGAGATCTCTTGAAGTTTGGCCAAGAAAATGTTTCAAGAGAGGTTCAACAAAACGTGATTTTGGCTGTGCGAAAAACCCTCATGTTACTGTAAAGGATATTGGATTAAATTTGGCCATTTAGTAATCAATTGTTTACAAAATATTAAAAACTACAAAATGTCATCTCTATAAATAAACCTCATTCACGAGCTCAATGAAGATAATTTTGACAGAAGAACGCAGTCGTTCAACAAGGTGAGGAGTAATGTTTAGATCCGTTTCAAGGATTCTTCCATAAACTATTTATAATGATTTTATCGCCCCATTTTAAGGACATACTGTATATAGTTTAAAGACGTCACGTATTATAAATCAAAGCACTTTTTCGTTTATTTGCACAATGACACACCGAAATGTTTAATCTTATGAAAATATAGGTAAGCATTTATCTATGTATTTAAATATTGTAAACAATACCTCTCATAAATCGTTTTAGCGTCATTAAATGTCTTTCAATGAAATTTGTTTGAGATTAAAACAACGCATCAAATAGATAAAAACGCAATAAAATTGCTCAAAACATAGTTGTTAAACGTAGTTAGAAATTAAATAATAGAAGCATAAAATTTATTACAAAAACAAACCGAAAAGGTAAATTATTAATTTTCTTGTTAATAACCAGTCAATAAAATTCAATATAAAAGTGTATCATTACTACATACATTGCAATTGCGATAACAATGTCTCATAGTGATGACGCACAATTCATAAAATAATTTTCTACACAAGATAAACCTAAACAAATATTTCAAATCATTAATGTAATCTTACTAAACCTCTTATCATATCTTTTTTCCTTTTTCAATATAATAAACAGAACTAAAGCTATTTATAAATACATGAATACTAGAATAAAAATAATATTGATTTGTTTTAATTTAAATTCGTAAAAAAGTTGATTTATTTAAAAATTTTATTTCTCTAAGAAAAAAAATTATACCTGAGTAATCGGAAAATTCGGATAATTATTCATTTCTAGCTTACACGGCAGATTTTCGCGAGTACCGATATTGCACATTTCAGACAACATTCTTTATTAACTGTCAACTATTCAAATATATCTTCAGGTACATTTTAATTTGTTTAAATGTTTAGAATGATGGTAGTTGTTTAATAATAACTAATTGTTTAATTTATTTCCTCAAATGATTTAAGCACTCTATATCAGAGCACGTGATTCATTGATTTCGTTTTTAAAATATCAAGAATCGTGATAACTCCAATTTATGCTATCGATTGTCTAAATTAAGCGTAAAGGTATCCTAACTAAAAAGTACGTATTAATTTACTCTTCATTTCTTCTTCTTTCTAATCCCATGGTGCTGTATGGTATTGAACATGTGGAATAACTTTATACAGGCAATTATTGTTGCAAAAATCTTCGCAAATGTGTATACACATTTTAAAACACCATATCTCATTTTAATAGTACAACTTTGTTCTGTATCAAAAGGGCGAAATCCTTAATAAAATTACGAAAGGGTCACCTTTCCTGGTTTATTAGAATTTAAAGGAATTTAAAATTTTATGCCCTCGAAGGGCATGGAAAACATTAGCCCATGTTACTGTTTTAACGGATTGTTTCACTGATATCAAGTGTGAGCTATTAATTTTGGAAAATTGAAAATTTAATGGAGTTCACCAAGAATATTATTTTTCCAAGTCCTTAACAATTTCCGAACCGCCTTCAACCAAATCTTAAATCAACTTAAAATGTAGAAATACACGCTGTGAAAATGTTCCAAAACGTGCCTTGTACGATGGTTGGCTTCGAAAACTTAGATGGTAACATGACTATTACACGAAATTCACCAAGTTTTTCAGGTTAAGGAAAAGTTTTATCGGAAAGTTTACCGATGAAGCGCATTTTAAACTACAAAGAGTTTGCAATCACTACAAGCATCATTTGTGGCTCTATGAGAATCCTTATATTGTATGTCGGCGAAATCAGCAAAGACTTTGGTCTGTGAATGTTTGGATTTTTAGATGACAGATCATCGATCATTATTTTTTGCTAAAAGTAGTGTTCTGAATGAACTTACAGCAATTTTTTTGAAAACATTTTAATAAGTTTTGCCCCTCAGAGAAAACATTCATTCACAACAACGAAATCGGGAAGAGTTGTAGGGTTCGTTAAGTAAATGGATGTTGGTTTCATTACGCTATACAAAAAAAATTTAATTTGATTATTCAATTATACGTAAAAACAATTTCGCTGTTGGGACACCATAAGCGTATGAAGTACTCCAATGAAAAATAAAACTTTGAATAATTATAAAGCAGAAATAAATAATATTTTAAATTAATTTTGTGCTCTGGTTCTCAAAGCATAAGATATTTCAAGCTAGTTTCTCTTTATTTTCATATCCAGATACTAGATTTCTTCAAAAAGGACGCTTAATGGCGAGATCTATCTCCAGAAGCTACTCTGCACTATCAATTAAAAACAGAAAAAAAGAAAATTGAAAACGCTATCGGTTGCCCTGTGGGTCATCTTTAAAAAAAACACCTTCATCTGGATTAAAACAACTGTCATTATTTTATAACAATCTCGAAGGCAATGACACACTTCAGTGTAACTCAACACTCAAGTGTAACCAGAGCAAACGGGCAATATTTATGAAAATACACGAAAGCGTCCTAAAGCTGAGTAGTCGTGTGACAGAAAGCCCAAAAGGAACCGCGAAGATAGATATTGCCCTTTTTTCTTAATGGCCTTTACGATGAAACCACCAAGCTGACTGATAAGAATCATAAGATCTCTCAAAGCCGAATCGGAAAATTCCAAGTCACCACCAGCTTGTTAGCATAGCTATGAACAGTATATCTACAAAATAACTTGCCAATCTTGATTAAAATTCGACATCGACTCTATTTCCAAAGTGACTAACTCGAGTTCATTCCTATCTTCTTCTGAGAACAATGAAGAAACATTTTGTGTTGTAAACGGAGGCAAGCGAAATGTAAAAGTTTTAGCAAAGTCTCAAAAAGTATCACATTAATGAAATTAAACTTTAATGTGTTTGACGAGCGGCTGGGGTTGCGTCAGTTCATAAAACACTATCGAAAATGCATCTTTATTGCGCGATTTTGGAAGTCTTCTTACTAGAATTGTAGATTAATCTGAAACATGAAATTTCTAAAGCAATATGATGCAGAGTAGAGGGTTTAACTGTAAGAATTTCAGACTTTTAAACGTCGTTCCAACATAAAAGATGCAATAAATTTTGATTTCTAATTAAATTTCATGGTTTTGGCAAATTCTATTTTATAAAGAAAATAAAGTGCAGATTTTTTTTGAAATGTATAATAATACATTTAGGTAGCCACATATTCCCCAAAAAGTTTAACCTGAAATTACATTCTTTGTTGGAGTAATATGAGTTCGAAAATTTAAAATTAATTAATTTAATTAAAAATTTAATTTTACATCAATGATTTCCGTATATTTAATCTATTTTGATTAATTTTATTAAACGTCCACCAGACAATATTTAATCGGTTTTTTATTGAATACGATATAGGGAAAGCCTAATTAAAAGGGATACAATTGTGAAGGGTTTCAAAAAATGTGGAATTTACGATCCTGTAATCCCTGGAGTTAATAGCCAAGCTATTGATGAATCAACCTATCATCCCGAAATATTGGAATGGTACAAAAAATACTTGGAATCCTCTCTAAATGAATCAAACCATAAAGCACCCATAGAAACTTCCACATCCCCGAGTTTAGCAAATTCCTCAACAAATTGTAATGATGATGAACAATCACCCGGAAAAAGTTCTGAAAGTAGCACGTCCTTCTGAAACTGCTATTCCTAATCGAGTCAAACGAGAATAAATACATCGGAAATTATTACTGAAGAGGAATACATTAATAATTTAAGATACGAAAAAGAAAAAAAAATGTTGGTGCACTTGCTATACTTGAGAAACGAAAAAAAAAATTGGAAAATAAGAAATCTAAGGCTAAGAAGATGATGAAAGTGATATAGAATTAGAAGAAAAAGAAATAATGGTAGGGTCTGGAGATAGCGAAATTGAAGAACTAAAGGAATACTTTCGTGAAATGGAGAAACCGGAATGATGAAAGCATCCAAACAGGGACATATTTGCTTGTAAAATTGAAAGGTGGCAAAAGAAAGTCAATAAATTATAGATATATATATTTGTTGCGTGCAATTTGGAATAGATACCGATGAGGAAGTAAAAATAATGGGGTCGCAAAGTACTGATTCAAGTAAACGTAATTTCATTGTCAATGAAAAGGACGTTTCACATATATATAACCAAATACTTAGACCAAATACTGGGTGGTTGCGACTTCAATTTTCTAAACCCGTAAACATTTTTGAAAAATAGATTTCAGATACACAAATTAGAGATACAATATTTTATTTTTTAAGTTTTTATTTTTCTATTGTTCTATGAATAAAGTGCCTACTAATGAAAAAATTGTTCTTTTATGTACAAAATTGTTACAAACACTCTGAATAATAAAATACTTCACACAGGTAGACTTTTTAGTGAATGTCACAATCACCCAGGAATGATGTCATATTCACCCCACGTATGGGGGAAATGTGACACTTTACATTTAGTTTAGTACAACATAAAATAAATTGACATAATCAGAAAATAATAAAGATGCTCATGCTATTTAGTAATATAATGTATGAAGAATATGTGGTAAAAATTCGAATTGAAAATATTGAAAAATCCGGATGTTACTAGCACCGAAATATAAACTTTGCTAAAACGTGTCACAATCATCCCGCTTAACCCTATAGTTCAGTGGTGTCCATAAAGTCGATCGCGAAGCCATTTTGAGTTGATCGCCAACAAAATCATGAATCTGAAATATCTATAATATAGATATTTATGCTATGCTCTAAAATTCTCAATATGCAAGAAATCATGACCATAGTTTTTAAAATCAGAAATTCTATCCGGGCAAAAAGTTTACAAAGAAGGCTTTTTAAAGTATACTTAGAAGAAAGCGGTCATGAAGAATGTTCTGAACTTGTGATGCATACTGACATCAGGTGGTTAAGTAGAAGCAAGTTCTTACAGCGTTTTCGCGATTTAATTGACAAAATTAAACAATTTCTTATTACAAGAGGCGACTATTACAGGATGTTGGAAGATGACGTTTGGCTTTTAGATTTGTCTTTTCTGACAGATATTACAAGGTGAATGATTTGAATTTACAACTTCAAGGACCGAATAAAATAATTTTTGACATGATGAGTTCTGTAAATGCCTTTAAACAAAAACTAAACATAATGTTATCTAGAACGAATGATAATAATTTCACTTCTTTTCCCAATATGACGTCTCTATTAAAAAATATTGCTGCTACCGATATCGATTTAAATAGGTATAAAGATGAAATTAAAAACCTAATTGCAGATTTTGACAATCGTTTTCAAGATTTAAAAAAAATTGATGATGTGGTACTTTTTATCACTTTTCCGTTTAATAAAAATATAAATATAGAAAAAGTTCTAGAGAAACTGTTTGACTTGTTCGAAATGGATGTACATAAGTTAGAATCAGAAATCATAACACTGCAAAACGATATCTATGTTAAAGCAAGGGTATCTGAAGAAAATTGAAAGACAAGTATACAAATTTTCGAAAATGTGTTGAGAATTTGTACTCAGGTTATGATTCAACACATTTATGTGAAACTGCATTTTCACAAATGAAAATAATAAAATCTAAATATCGAACGGCATTGATAGATCTCAATTTAGAATCTTGTTTGAGAAATGCCCTAAGTTATTACATTTCCAACTTTAAAAAGATTGTAGGCTCACAGCTGTGTCGAATAAGTCAAATATTCACCTGGAAGCTCAATTTAATATCTGTATTAAAACTTAAAATATTAATAAATGAGTTAAATGAAATGATTTTTTATTTCATATGTTCTTCATTGAAAAAATGTGATATTATTATAAGCAGATAGGTAAATATGACAGGATGAGTCAGTAGGCAAAAAAGGATGGTGAATTTATGTAAAAAGTCGATCTTGGTCAAAAATTACTGGACACCACTGCTATAGTTGGTCTAGTTCTAGGTCTAGTGTTAGTTCTAGTTTTAGTTTAATAGTGCCAGTAGTTTGCCATATATGTATAGACTCAAGGTCGTCGTGATAGACCCGGTACATGCAAATAAATATGTCCCGAGATATTTCCGGCCTGGTCCTTAAGGGTTTAAGTAAATATTAAGAATTTAAAGTTATTATTAGGTCGACTTATACGAGGAAAAAGTTCTAATTGTAAGTATGAAACTCAAAAGACTTAATAATAAATATTTTGAAATTAAACAAAAAAGTGCTTAAGTAATAAGTTTAAATCATCAAAGGAATAATCCAATGATAATTCATTAGATACCGCATTCTGCCCGTAGAATTGGATCAATATCACGTGTTTCGAGGTGTGTTAACGCATTCTGTAGAACTACAGCAGGCTCAAACAGTGTTAAACTATTCCATAAGCGGGAATAAATGTGTAAATATGACGTCTGGTAAACAAATTAAACTAATTGCATTTTCAAAAGGGGACGAACTTACGCAGTAGTTCATGTTTATATCAAAGTTAGTAAGTGGTGATTGTTATATTTTCAAGTATGTTCTATAAAAACTGGAATTTCAAGTATGTATTTTATTTTTCTTTCACTTTTGATAAGGTTTATTTAATTACATATTGTTCCTAAAAAAATAATATAGTAATATAGTAAAAAACGTAATACTTAGATAAGAATTAAATAATTAATGAGAAATAAGTGAACTTAGATTATGTTGAGTAAGCAAAAAATTCTCAGATTTTTAAATTCATGTTATTCATTCATCGTTTATAAATAGATGGGTAAATGAAATTTCTAACAATAATCATAATAGCATATGTTACCCGTATGTCCCATATAATTGTAAAAATAAACTTTTCAAACTTGGCCACATAAAAAAAGAACAACTATTTTGTAAGATGAGCTATGACGAATACAACTTGGCCCAGTCCCAAATCTGTATCCTCAAAAGAAATCAACAGTAACAATTTAATTACAAATAAAAGAAAAGTTTTAAATCGTATATAACACAAAAATAAAGTATTATCACATGTTTTTGAGGTTGTGATAAATGATTTATGTTAAAATACAAAAAAAGTGTTCTTTGCAGGAGGTTACCATATAGGTTAAGATGATGAATGAAACTGGAAGTGATTGTTGAAAATTATGTTACATAACGATAATACTTACTTTATTTAATTGGGTACTACCTATAAAAGTCGTGTAGCGCATTCCTTTAAATATTTCGATAGCACACAAAACGCGACAACGGAACAGACCGGCTACCGCCATTTTTTGAGACCGACTAACAACTAAAATGTAAAATACAGCGGCCGCGCATGTCCCAAACCGAGCGAAATTAAGTCGGACAGATCAAATCTCCAAAACATCCCGAGATAACCCATTTTCTATTATAAAACCGATTAAACGTTTACTTATCTTAGAGTTAACGAACTTTACGCGATTACGATTAATTAAAATTTACATCTGACGTTTTTGACATTTCACGTTCAAAATAAAACCACTCACACGAAGTTAGCTACGAACCAAAAAAACAAAGTAATTAACAATTATCATAAATTCCTTATTAATTATATTAAATAAAACGAAATAATTAATTTGGGATAAAAATAATTAATAAATAAATTCAAAATTATTATGTATCAAACTTCATCTTAAACATTTAAAATCACATGTATAACTGTCATCAGTATCAATCGTAGAAAACAAGGGTAATGTAAAAACCGACTTTAATTCTATTTAAATTAAAAATTAGTTGTTTTAGATGGAACCAATGGCATTAGGAAGTCCCAGCAGTCCAACAACGCCAGGGATAAACCCCAATTTTTTACCTTCATTTTTAATGGGTGAGACCCAAACCTTAAACTCATCAAATATACCAACGCCTGGTGCAAGTCGAACCCCCAACGTCAAATATACCTCAACACCGGATTCAAGAAATCTCCGCCAAAAACTCTTTAATCAATCCTTAAACGAATCATATCAAAATAATATGAATCAAGGCAATTTCCAATCGCCACCGTATAATAATGTTCAACCGGAACGGACGGGACCACCAAAACAAGGTCTTTTTGATACGATTGATAAATCAACCCCTCCAGTTTTAAGTAGTACTGTGCAATTTACTCCCGGTCAAGGATCGTTTCCCACTGAAAGCTTTTCCATTATAGGAAATGAATCAATAAATTATAATATTATTTCTCCAGGGCATGATTCAATGAATAAATTTAATTACACCTCCATTCAACATAAACAACAACATGAAGGAATGTGGGTGACTGTTTTTGGGTTCCCACCAAGTGCTACAAGTTTGGTTTTAGCCCAATTAGCAAATTATGGCTCGATAGTTGACAAGAAATTTCCAACACAAGGAAATTGGATTCATTTGAAATATAGTTCGCCTTTAGAAGCGAATAAAGCGTTGGCTTTACATGGAAAATTAATCTCTAATAGTATAATGATAGGGGTGGTGCCTTTTGTTAATAAAAATAAAAGTGAGAATAAAGAAAATATGGAGAATGATGTTTCTACTCCAGTTAGAGCACGGTCATTACGACAAAGTTATATAACACCACAACCAAGTAGTCCTGTTGTACCTCAAAATGTTCCTCAAAAATCAACTGGTTTGGTTGGTAAAGCAATGGAATATGTTTTCGGATGGTGAGCTAATTAAAATGAAGATTAAAAAAAAAAAATAGGTGATTGAGTTTAAAGATAGAGATATAATCAATTTTTCTGTTCTTTTTTCATTTTTGTAAAATTCAGTTTTGTCAAGTTTTAAATTTGTGTCTTATTTATACAATTTTTGATATCTTTTTAAAATGAATGAATTGTGTACATTTTTGCTGTTTATTTCTAATAAAAACACTTATTTTCATATAAATATTTTTTTGTTTTACTCAACTGTTTTAAATTCTATGGCATAGGACATAAAAAAGGTTATTGTTTAACAATAAAATTTGCTTTCAATAAAGTCCTTTATTCAAGTATCATAAGTTGTTCAACAACTTTAATAAAATTTCTTTCAAGGTATTTTGACAACCATTAAATATAAATTAAATAGTAATATAGACTACTTTATTAATAATGTAAAATGCATTCCAAAAAAAAACATTAATGGATGTAAGAAAAAGGCACATATTAAATCAATACTCAAATACATGATTGACTAAAAATTTTATTAAATTGAGTGTACATAGCAAGTACATAGATGTAATAATACCTATTATTGTTCATTTACAATGTAATAAGTAGTAACAATAAAAACACTTTGTATAAAATCAGCTTCATTTCCATTCATTTTTCTCAAATTTTTGCAATTAATGTGTTTTGAAAATTTTTGATAACAGACATTGAACCATGTCCGTTCTATAAACATCAAAATGCAGTTTATTTATAATAAACTTTTAATACCGTTATTTTTACCTTTAATAATATCTTAACATGGTTCCAAATAACTCTCAGGTGACGATTTATTAATTAATGAGGATATTAGTATTATCGATATAGTATGCCCCGCAGAGGCTAACAGTTCTTAAAATCACAGAGACAAAAAGCTAGTGGCAAGATATTAGAATGCTGCGGTACACCATTCGTAGTAGATACCTTGCCGTCTACCATAACCACTTGTAATCTATTGATAACGAAGTTGTTTATTAACGGCACAACTTCGAGTTCAGTCATATGTCATGCAACCACATCGCGAAGTTTCGTAGATCGATTGTATCCAAAACTTTCTAGTAGCGGTGTTAGCAAAATATATTAGTAACAAGTAACTGTAATGTACCTCTGAGAGAATGAAAACATTTGTTCGATTTCGAATTTATTATTTGTATACATATACAGAATGTGCCAAATGTTTGGAATATAGCCAATATCCGGCATCCCTACATCATTGTCACATTATTGCGATATTTGAATAAAAATGAAATTAATAAGAAAGCTGATAAGATATGTCAACTTATTTGGATCCAAGATACAAAATGAACTTTTTTGATGCTGATTTAACTAACGAAGCAACTCTAAAAAGAGGATACTTTAATTAATAATTGGCGATATTTCCACAAAGATCCTTCAAGATATGAATTTTATAGCGAAATTTGACATGAAAACATCGAAAATTTTCTTAAAATTTCAAATATTGTTTTCTCAAAAACTAAAGTTATTTTTCAAAACGGGTTGGTTCATTGGAAAGAGGACACTTTTATTAACACTTTGGGAAATTTTCACACTCATATTCCAAGAACTGGATTTTATACGAATTTTTAAAACTTAATCAGCGGAAATTGCAAAATTCGAAAAAATTGTCGATCATTTAAAAAATTTATTTTTCAAAAACTAAAAGCGATTTTTCAAAACGGCTTGTTGCATTAAAAAGAGGATACTTTAATTAATAATTGGCGATATTTCCACAAGGATCCTTCAAGAAATTAATTTTATAGCGAATTTTGCAAGTTATCGATGAAAATTGCAACATCGAAAATTTTATCAAAACTTCAAATATTGTTTTCTCAAAAACTAAAAGTTATTTATCAAAACGGGTTATTTCATTGGAAAGAGGACACTTTTATTAATACTTTGGGAATTTTTCATACTCATATTCCAAGAACTGGATTTTATACGAATTTTTGAAACTTAATTGGCGAAAATTGCAAAATTCGAAAAAATTGTCGATCATTTCAAAAATTTATTTCTCAAAAACTAAAAGCAATTTTTCAAAACGGCTTGTTGCATTAAAAAGAGGATACTTTAATTAATAATTGGTGATATTCCTACAAGGATCCTTCAAGAAATGAATTTTATAGCGAGTTTTGAAGTTATCGATGACAATTGCAACATCGAAAATTTTATCAAAACCTCAAATATTGTTTTCTCAAAAACTAAAAGTTATTTTTCAAAACGGGTTAGTTCATTGAGAAGAGGACACTTTTATTAACACTTTGGGAAATTTTCATACTCATATTCCAAGAACTGATTTTATATGAATTTTTAAAACTTAATTGGCGAAAATTGCAAAATTCGAAAAAATTTATTATAATTAAGTTATCCAGTATCAATAAAGCTTAAGTTTAAGTTTTAGCTTTAGTTTAATTTTTGTATCAAATAATCTTTTACCATAGAGTAAACATACAATCATCTTATTTACCGATTGGCTAAAAAGGTAATGAGTAACCCAAGCTTTCTTATTAAACTGACAGTAAACTTCTAAGCTCTCTTTATTGACTTTTCTGTTTTAAATACTCTAGGGTTGGTTCGAAAACAATTATAGCATCTGCATCATAGCAGGACAGTTGCATAGAACTATCTCCACAGGAATGTATCCCTTGTTTTACCAAATATTATGGTGAGTAAATGATTTTGAAGGAGTGTGTCCATAATGCACATAGTACATAGACTCTTACCACTCAAAGACGCGTTTCTGATATCATCCGTGTTTGCCCATTTATGCCTAGTCAAACGCTTGAGGATAATTCGAGATATAGAAGTTCGAGTTAGGGAAATTTCACTGTACTTGCTTTGAGAATATGTGGTTTTTCTTCACTCAACAAAATGATCTTCTTGTAGATATAGAAGAATATGATAAGCTTGTGCCACGAGTAATAATCTTCGTTCGATATATATTTCTCTCAGTGTGGAATTGTACCCAAATTCCAAAAATACAAGTCGATGTTGGTGCACAATATTGTACACATTTGCTGCTTTATAACAAAGTGATATGGTTCTTTCATCCAGAAAACAGCGATACCTAGTAATACTTTGTGGTCAATATTCTACCTCAATACTCTACCACAAAGTGTTATCAAGAAGCAAATTGAAATTTTTTTTGTATGAATACCCACTGGTTTATACAACCCTTCAGTATTAATACTAAAGCAGTAAAGTTTTGATAATTATATATGATTATACCAGTATCAAGGGAAAGCTGGGAAAGATCAGGAATTCTGTGGATCGAACCTTATCTTTCCAAAGATATGCAAGGGTAATTGTAAGCTACGAGGGACATGTTTTTATGTTGGCAAATTTTTAGATCCCAGAATTGCGACGATGAAAAATTAACCCAAGAAATGTTTGGTCCTAAGAATATGGTGCTACAGCAAATAAAACCAGAGTCTCAATGGAAGTTGTGTAATTTCTTGGTGATTTTAGACACCTAAAGGGGAAGGTATACATCGATAAATCTCAAAATCTGCATACATATCACAACATAATTTCGGACGATAAAGAAATCAGAGAAAATGTCATGAACTAGGAAAATAATACCAACTTTGATAACTGATGTAAAAAATAAATGTGAAAAACTTTCAAAATTGACAAAAATTGTCAAAAATGTTTTTGTCATTTTATGTTTGATGTTGTGGGTATTTTTTAAGTTATTCTTTTAACACTTCTTTTAAAGGGTTTTTGTTGTGAACAAAATTATCCAATCCAATTTTCCTACAACACAATTTTTTTTCTAACGGTTTAATAATTTAAACAATGAAACCAAAGGTTACTGTTCCACCAAAAGAACCTTTTAAGAATATCTCTACGAATATATTACGAATATTACGAACCCCGCTTACCACGCACGATAACACACGATTAAATGAAAATGTTCGAAAGTTATTGAGTGGTTATAAAAATGACTTGGTAATTAAATTAAAATTATTTTTTTATTTATTTTAAGTTTTTTTTTGTAGCACATAAACGATATTAGTGAGGTAACTAAATTATTACTGGTGTTATTTGAAAAAAGTGAATATTCCGAACTACATCTTAATCATTTTTTGGATATTTTAAATTTATGTTGGTATAAATTTAAGCTGTATCAATCTGGTTATATCGCAAAAATGATTGAAAGCTTTACCAATTTGTTTAATGCTTTAGGTAAGTTATTTTAAACGAAATTATTTCTTTCTAATTTTTTTTTTGGTTTAGCGTTTTTATTGGGAGGTACTCAAAACTCAAAAATAACCCAACCGATATTATTAACTTTAAGAAAAATTGGCCAAATCACCAAACGCACAACGTCTTTTCTCTACAAAAGTGTTTCTATAGAAGGTTTAATAAAAAGTGAACTTCCAAATATATTAACTGAATTATTGGAAATTTCGGATCAAAATTATTATCACAATCTTTTAAAAACATTAGAATCTTTATTAATTAGTGATACAATTTGTAATTTTTTATTATTTTTTTTTTCTCGTTTTAAATAATTGTTTTATTAAAGGTTATGGTTTTATAAAATTAAATATTTTCGATATTGTAATGAATAAATTGAATGTGCCCTCATCGTTGGGCACGGGAAGAAGGAGTACTTACGAGGAGTTAATCCACTGTAATTTACCTGATCATGTACATACAAGTAAAAATGTTTTGTTTGGGTTAATAGATGCTTTTACGAAAAGTTCCACAACGTTTAAAGATTACATATTCAATCACTGCCAGATTACGCGAGTTTCTTGGAAGTATTTCTTTATATTAATACAAAAGAAAGTTTTTTAACAATTATTTTTAGGTGCATCGCTGAAATTTTTTATATTCTCGTTGCCACAAATGATCAAAGAACTTTAAGAAACAATTATTTTTTATTGGTCAGATTATTATCTAACGCTTTTAACGTGGATCATGCTTTATCTTATTTAGGTAAGATTTTGTCTTTAATTTCTTTAATTTTTAACGAGTTTTTTTAGATGGTTACAAATTAATTTTCGCAACTGAAATTGTCCAAAATTCTTGGGTATCTCAAGTTCGTTTTCAACCGGATGATTTAGATTTCGACTTTAAAGTTTTATCTTTAAGCATGTTAGGAATAGATTGTCCGTATGAATCAACAGTGCATCTTTTAAAGAAAATGAAAGCGATGCAAGGTCTTATAAAGATAATCAACCCAGAAGAAAATTTAATTTGGAATGATGGGCAAAGAAAGGCGTTAATGATACATGCTTTAATTGCAATTGAAAATGTTGTTCTTAACGTGCTCGATGAGTTTGTGAATGGAAATGGACCTAAAATGTAAAAAATTTTCGCATTAAGATAATATTAATATTTATTTAATTTTAGATTAGTTAATTTATTGAGATTATCTCTCGATGATATTTATCCAATACAATTAGCCATACCAGCTTTAAAGTGTATTCGAAAAACTTTAAAGGGGAATTATAAAATAATCGATTATGAATATCGAAAAGAAAATATTCTTTCGTTGTTGGTGCAATGTTTAAAAGATCTTATTAACTTGCAACATTTTTCGAAAACAAATCAGAATTTTTTGATTTTAATTTATTGCATTCTTGAGAAATTATCGATTAATAAAGAAAAAGAAACTCCTGATATTATCAAGAGAAGCATAGAAATAATGAAACGATACTTATCTCCATCGCTGAACGATTTTTTTTTACCACCAATCGGATTAATTGCCATTTTAGATTTTCTTTGGATAAATGTGGTAGAATCCACAGAAAGTTTGAATCATTTTATGTCAAATGAAGGTGTTTTTGTTCTTATGGATGTTATAGAAGTAAGAATGAAACAAATTGTAATAAAAAAATCATATAAATTTAATTTTAGCGTTTCCCCATCGCCATGAAAGTACTTGGTTTGAGCATTCTCACCGATTTATGTGAAATCGGAGGTTTATCCAGCATATTAACATGGAGGGGAAAAACTGGAGATACAGTCATTCCATTTTTGATGAAAATTTATCAAAAACAATGTCAATTTGATAATGGAGCATGCGCAATATATACAACAAGAAGTGGTCATACAAAAATAATCAACAATAAATGTGGTCACAAACATAAAACTCAAGATTCATGTTTGACGTGTTTGGGAATGTTGGGAAATTGTAAACCGAAAATTTACGCAATTTTGTATATGATAAATTGCCATTGGCAATCTAACCTTGTAAATAAAACCTACAAATTAAGCGAACCTCTAAATTACCAAGATAAAGTTACCCTTTTATTAGCGGAGTATTATTACCCGCTAAAAATCGGCGAAGTTTGGACGGAATTAAATCACGACATGGAACAATCAGGAATAAGACCGTTATTGTTTGATCAAGAACTTATTGCTTTTAATATTCGCAAATATACCGATTTATCTAATTTCGTTAGACATGAACAAAACAAACTTTTCTTAGAACAAGAAGTTAAAGTATGTTAATAATTACACAGATTCGCAAAAAAAGGGTGTTGATTGTTGTTGGACAATCATTTTCGAAGTAATTTTCTGCGTGGAATTAGAATCCAAGCTCAGAATTGGACCATCATGATTTTGAGATATTTTTGGCTACTTTTGAAATTATGTGTGAGATGCTCAATATTATTTTGCTGTATTCCATCTATTTTCTCATATAGTACTATCCTTCAAAATGCACTTTCAAATGGTGCTGTACGATTTTTCCATTTTAAGTTATGGCCATTTTTAATATGTCTTAATGAGTTGGAAAAATATATGGTTAGTCCGAATTTTGTATTGTATTTAACTTTTATGGAATATCATTTGCTTGTGTTCCATAGATCTTGCGCCAGCTCGCTTCTTGTGTTGAGGATGTGGCTCATCACGATGAAGTGGCTAGCAATAGTCGGCTAGCATAGATATGGACTATTTTCCCTGATACCGTCTTTCCATTTCTTTTATATCCTGATAGAACCGCTCTCCTTGCTCTTCTCTAACATTACCTAAATTGTCAGGAATCCAATGTAAATGAGAGTGCAAATAGTGCAACTTCACGCTTATGTTACAACCTAATTTTTTGAAGTTCTTTAGCATCACAGCGGCTAACACCTTATAATTAGCAGTTTTATTATTGTCAAAGACGAAGTTAATGGATGCCGCAAAGGAACGCAGGGCTAGAGACTCGGATCAAAATTTCACAATTAGAGAGCATAACATCGAAGCAGCGGAAGATTTCGTATACCTCGGAGCCTTGATAAACCGGACTAATAATGTCAACAAAGAAATAAAGAGACGCATTTAGCTTGCTAACAACTGCTACTATGGACTGTCAAAATATCTGCGTAAATCGAATCTATCAAGAAGTACATAGATCAGAATTTATAAAACCCTAATTGTTTGATCTATGGCGATCTACGATCTACGGCGCAGAAACATGGACCTTAACAAAAACAGATGAGACGCTACAAGCAACATTTGGAAGAAAAATCTTGTGGAAAATAACAACAATCAAGATTGGCAGGCTTAGATGGTCAGGACATGTAGCACATTATGACATGGGCATACCAACGAGAAAACTTTTGACCAACAGCCAATACAGGCAGAGGGAGGTTCAAGGAAAAACGGGGTATCCGAGAATGCGGGACAGATTGGTGCGGCTAACTGGAGGATCCTTGCAAAAGACCGGAAAGGATATAATAATAATAATAATAATAAATAAATTTATTGCCATAATAAGAAACAAAAAATACAAATTAAAGAAAATGTATACATTTAACTTAATGCATACATAAATACGGGCAAAAGGGTCGATTTATCGCGTAAGCGATATCTTCCAAACAACCCAATCAATCAGCAGTATACTAAGTTATATAAGAAAAACTATGAATAAACGGCAAGCTGCTATGCTAAACTTATGGTCACTAAAAACGGTGCATAATGATAGTTGCTGGAATAAAAGAAGAAGAGAAGGGAAGAAAAGTAGAAGAAGAGAAGAAAAGGGAGAAAAAAAAAGTTCTCAGGAAGATACTTGGAGAGCCAATAAATGACGTTTTAGGTGGTTTTTAAATGTTGCAAGGTGAGGAATATTACGGATCTCAGTAGGCAGACTATTCCAAAGGGTTATTGCCTGCACAGCAAACGATTTATGGTAAATCTCGGTACTATGGGCCGGGAACATAAGCACAGAATCTAACTGAGATCTAGTGGGTAAACCATGCGACGACAAGCCTTGAAATATACAATACAGATACCTTGGGGTTTGATTGTGAAGAACAGTATATAACATAGTTAATATACGAAACGATCTACGGTTCTGACAGCTTAATATCTGCAAATAATTACGGTATGGGGTTATGTGTTGAGATCTCTCGAGATCAAAGATATACCGTATGCAGTTGTTTTGAAGTCTTTGCAGTTTGTTTCGTAGTGTTACCGAAAGATCAGGATATGCCGTGTCAGCATAATCAATATGGGGGAAAATCAGGGAAAAACAAAGATTACGACGGATCATGGGAGGAAGGAAGCAACGGAGACTTTTCAGTGAGTGGAAACAATGATAGACCTTTCTGCAGACGGATTGAATTTGAGGTTTCCAGGACATTGTAGAATCCATAACCACCCCAAGATTTCTAACCGTGTCTGACAGCTGAATAATGTCTCCGTCAAGCATTAAGTGAATGGATGAAAAATCATTCAGCTTTGCCAGTAAAGGTCGACTGCCAAACGCAATTGCTTGAGTTTTAGCAGTATTTAATTTAAGGCCATAACGTTTGGACCAATCCAAAATATTGGAAAGGTCATGATTAAGACGTGCAATTGCTTCCGGAAAATCATCAATAGTTGTCGTAGTGTAAATTTGGAGGTCATCAGCATACACATGATAATTACAAGAAATACAGTGGGTGACGGCATTAATGAAAATCGAAAAGAGCAACGAACCCAACACACTACCCTGGGGTACACCACATTTAATATCACAAGCAGACGAGAGCGCAGAATCAGCACGCACACACAAGGAACGACAGGAAAAGTAAGATTGAAACCAAGATAAACATGAAGAGGTAAATCCAAGGGCAGCTAGTGACGCCAACAAAAGATCGTGAACAACCGAATCGAACGCCTTGCTAAAATCAAGTAATACAAGGATGGTAACACAACGTTTGTCGCAAGCATACCTAATGTCATCTGTAATCTTAATAAGCGCTGTTGTCGTGCTATGACCCTTACGAAAACCCGATTGAAAGTCGTTGTGCAAGTTAAATTCTTGTAAATACTCTTGAACTTGTAGATAAACAAAGCGCTCGAGAGCTTTAGATAGAACAGATAAAATGGAGATAGGGCGAAAATCATTTAAACTTGAGGGACTCTTGGATTTAGGTATAGGGACAACATGAGCAACCTTCCAGATTGAAGGGAATAAGGATCGTTCAATGGAGAAGTTAAAAATGTGGGTAATAGGAGTAAGAACAATATCCAATATAGGAAGAAGAAGTTTGAGACCAACTCCATCAGCTCCCACACTCGTAGACCTCGAGTGATTCAAGGCATCGCGGACTTCTGACGCAGTGACCAGGACAAAGGAGAAAGAGGAGGATTTAGATGAGGCAAGAATTTCAGAAATAGTTGTCATCCTAGTCCCACCACTAATGAGCAGAGGAGGGTCAGCAAAAAACCTCGCCAATGAATCCACATCACAAGCAGCCCGAACAGAGGGAGACTCAACCATATAGGGATATAGGATATAGGGCTGTAGAAATAATGATGATGGTGATTATTGCCTAAGAAATCATTGACAACTTAAAGCTAGTCTTCTCTTTTCATCCGAAATCATCATAGTTTCATCAGTTTCAGTAGTTTTCATCAATTCTTGAATCTGTGGCCCAACGAATATCCATTCTTTTATTATAGCATCACTCAAGTTGGGATATTTATCTACAAGGTACTTAAAAGATGCACCATTTTCATTAAGCGCCTTTACGAATTGCTTTATTATTCCAATTTTGATATGATGAATGGATCTTTGAGAATATCTATCTCTACTATCCCATAAATATATAAAACATGAGTATTTTGTAAAACCCGACTGTTGTCTAAGAAGCATGACAGTAATTTTCAAATCTCCACATATATTCTATTTGTGCTGTTTATATTTAATAGCGTCAAGAATAGTTTTAACATTGTTGTATGTTTGTTTTAAGTGTACGGAATGAGAAGTTATGCAGCATACTGCTTTCAAGCTTCTCTTAGTGGAATCAATAAACAACTTCCAATTCTCAGGGTCATATAACAGTCTACATTTTTGCACGAGGACGCTGACATCATTACAATATACATAGCTCCTCCACATTTAGACAAGAACTCAATAAATGACTTCTCTCAATGTCTATACCAAGAGAAGGTAGTTCCAGGGGCAAAGAGATTTCTCTCTTTTATTCGTGAACCAAGCAGTTCAGATTTTTAGGTAAACCTAAATCTCTGACCAAATCATTTAGTGCAGCCTGATCATCCAGAACCGGCAGAAAATTAGAATCTTCATTATCAATCTTCAGATTCTCGAAGATCCCTAATGTCACAGCCGATATCGTCATCACTTTTTTCTCCAAATTTGGTTTAATTGGAGGAATATCGCCAGATTCAAAATTAGAGTGTTTGCTACATTCGGATATTTAAAGTAGATAACTTCAAAAGTAGCCAAGAAATTTTCTTGCACAACCTCAGATATCTCAAAATCGTTCTCGGATTATGATTCTACGCAGATAATTACTTCGGAAATGACTCAATTGACCGACAACAAAACTTTGCAGATCTGTGTTATAAATTAAATAAAAACTAATCACCTTTTTATTTTAAGGATAAACAAGACGAAATGCGCTTATATAACTACCTTAAAGAAAGTACTTTATCTGAAAGTTTGGATGCGTTACAACAATTAAAACATCACGCTCTATGTAGTGAACACGTTTTTAGACTTGCAGCCGCTTCAAAAATGATAGCGAAATTGGATGACCGGAAAGGTCGAAGTAAAGAGTCATTCGTGCGGTTTCATTCAACAGTTCCTAGAGCAGGAGTTACAGTAATTAATTTACAACAATTTTTTTTGCGAATATAATCAAATTTTTTTTAGTACTTTGGTGGGCAGAAAGCCGATGTGGATCCGAAAATCGAAGATATTAAAGAAAGTAATAAAAAACTAGAGTGTTTCCTACCCTTAATTGATTCTGAACAATCCATGCAAGGAAGGATTAAGAACAGTCCATCTAATTCTAGTAGAAATAAAAGATTTTTAAAATATTTTAATAAAAATTTATAAATAAAACAACTACAACAATCCATTTTCAATTTTAATCAATGACAATCGATAAGGTTCATTTCAAAATTTGACACAAAAATAAATAAAATAGAAAGTGTCTATTAATTTTTTTTTAAGTTTTTTAATAAATAATTTTTAATAACAACTTTTTAGCAACAAAAATTAAAAAATGTGTACACCCGAACCGCTTCAACTAAATACAACAAAAGGAAAATGTTCAATCTCACCTTTCACATGCATTTTAAAGTTTTTGATACGTTCGTTGGAATGTCCGGAAAGTGAAAAGTTTATTTCACGTTTTGAGGATCAATTAAATCAATTGATTGCTGTTGGAGGTGTTAATGTTGTATCCTTTAAATAATTTAAAAAAATATATAAGACATTATTTTTTTCCTTAACTTTTATTTAGTCCGTTCGCGAATTAGCTGATTTAATAAAACTAATTTCTTTAACGTTTCAAAGAATCGATGAAAAACCTGCTTATTTAGAAGCTTTTTATAAATTATTAAATTTTAGTTCGCAAAATTTGGTATTTTTGATAACCAGCGACATGATAAGTTATGCTGAAATTATACAAGATTTTTTCAACATGCTGGGTGAGTAATAATAACTTTTAATAATCTTAAATAAAAAAAGAACGAAGCGAAAGAGGAATTTGTTGTTGAGACCATACTTTCTGATTGATGAAGCTTCTTGTTGAAAATTAAGTACTGCTTGGATAAGACTAGAAACTGCTATGGAGCTACTAAATATTGTTTGCAGAAGACTATTCACTGCTTTCAGAAGGCTAAAGGTGGCTCGTAGAAGAAGGAATTGTTAATAGAATTCTAGATCTGCTTGCAGATATCTACTTACTGCTTACTAAATACTAGATAGTCATGGTTGTAGAGTAGATCCATCTGATAGAAGATAAATTATGGTTAATGGAACACATAATCCTGCACAGAATAATAAATACAGCTGGTGGTAGATTAGATACTGCTAATAGAAGACTTAATCTGCTACTAGAAGATTATGTACTTCTTGCAGAAAATTATGTACTGCTTGGATAAGTCTACAAGCTGTTAATGAACATTTAACAAATTTTATGAACTCTTATGAAATTATTTATTTAAACATTTCTTTGTTTTAGGTTATTTACTGGGTAGTACAGAAAATCTGGATTGCATTCAACACATTTTAAACAGCATATTAAAAATGATTGCAATGGCAAAGAAAAAACCTTATTTACAATCAAAAGTACTTTTAGACGCTTTTGCAAATAGTCAAATACCACCGATTTTTAGCGAATTACTATACATATCTGAATTCGACGTTTACATCAAGTATTTAACAGTTTTAGAAAAATTCTTTGTATCGGAAAGCATCTGTACGATTCAATCCTTATCTTTAAGTTTATATTTTTTTATAATTAAATAATTCATTTAGGTCAAGCCTTTTTAAAATGTAAAGTTTTCGACACTGTCGTTCAAAGGGTTTGTTTAAAATGGAGAGATGAAATTAATTACCCAGATGAAGTTCTTCCAACTTTAGATTTACCACCACATTTAAATGTAACCCAAAGGATTCTTTGGACATTAACAATGATTTATAACGATAGCTCGACAACTTTTAAAAATAGTATTGGGTATTTAGTTGAAGGATCTTCTTTGAGGTAAAAATTACAACAATATCTTTTATTTTATTAATATAAAATAATGTTTAGAGGTCCTCGCAATGTTTTAATAACATTAATAACATCAAATAAAGATAAACACATGAGAAATATGTTTTATCTGCTTTTAAGAGCGATTGCTGGTACTGTGCCTTTTCGTCATTATAGAAGTTTAAATAATGGTTAAAATTCTTTATTATTCTAAAAATTTTTTTAAAAAAATATTTTCTTTGTAGAATTGCATATTTTAACGTTTACAACTGAAGTGGAACAATCTCATCCTTGGGCAAAAAGAATGGTGTTACGTGCAGATGATCTTGATTTTGAGTTTAAAATGATGCTGGTTTCAATGTTATGCATTAATAGAGTTTACCCACAAAGCTTAGATGTAAATTTAAATTAAAACAAAAATATTTTTGAAAATCCTTTTTTTTAGCTTTTTAGAAAAATGAATGCCGTTCAAGGAATTTTTACGTTAATCGATACAGATATACAATTAATTTGGTCGACTTATCAACGGTTAGAATTAATGAAAGGGGCATTAATTGGAATGGAAAATATGATTTTTCATGTCATCGATGATTATATTCACTACGGGGGACCTGGTAAATTATTAAAAGTTCTTACAAAAGTTGTTGAAGGTGAACTACATTCAACCCTTTTATTACCAATATTAAGATGTATTAATACATCCTTAAACGTTCCGAGTAATGTGCAAGAAAAGGTCGCTAAACTTTACAGAATGAAACATATCATTGAAATTTTAACAAGTAAGTTTCTAGAAAAGAAATTAATCGCTTTTTAATAATATTTTTTAGCTACAATTGAAAATGTAATTAATGCTGAATTCATAACAAAATTAAACTTAAGCTGTTTAGCTGTAAGTTATTGTATTTTGGAGAAAGTTGCGAAACCCAACGAACCAAAATTAACAGACGTAACAAAAACGGGAATTGCAATTTTAAAAAAATACTTAAATCCAGATCCTAGTATTTCTTTCTTAGCACCGAAAGTTCTCATTGCTGTGATGAGTTTTATATGGGAAAATGTAGTTTATTGTGAAAACGGGATACACGAATTCAGTTCTACAGGTGGCGTTTACGTCATCTTAGACATAATTGAGGTAAAATCATTTTTGTAACCAACAAGATCTGATTTAAATTTATTTTCAGAAATTTCCTCTTGCCATTAAAGTTTTAGGTTTAAGCATGATAGCTGATTTTTGTCAAATTCAAGAATTTCTTTCATGCATTTTAACTTGGAAAGGTAAATCTGAACAAACGATTGTTCCATTTTTATTGGATATTTATAAAGATCAAGCTCGTTTTGATAAAGATCACACTGATATAAAATCAACACTTCAAGGTATTTACAAATATTTTTTTAGGTTTCTATTTCTAGGTTTAGTGTTAGTTCTAGTGATAGTATTAAATTAATTCTAAATAACTCATATATTCCTCTCCTGCAATAAACAACTTTCCAGACTTAAATATAACTAACAATAATTAAAATAATTTTATATTTAAATATTTATTTAGATTTAGAAAATCCAATTTTTGGTGATAAATACAACGAAATGAAAAAGAACTACATCAACAACGAATATGCAAGTTTCGCAACTTTGGATTTTTTAGGAAATTGTAAACCATCAATCTACGCAATTTTAACACTTTTAAGATGCGACGAAGACAAAGAGTTAATTAATAACACGTATAAAATATCAAAAGAAAATTTAACAAACAAAGAAAAAGTAAATTAAAAACCCTTATTTTTCGTATTTAATTTTTTTTATTTCATAGATTGTTGCTGCGTTAGCTGAAAATTATCTTCCATTATCGATAGGTGAATCTTGGATAGAAGTTAATCAACATTTTCAAACGAAAGGAGTACGCCCGTTAGTTTTCGATCAAATACTAATCGCTGCAAAGCTACAAGAACATCGTGAAAGAGCCAAATTAATTCAAATTGATCAATTGACATGTGAAATTTCTGAAAATAATCGCGAAATTTGTGTTGAACGGCAATTTTACGAACGTCTCCGAGAAGAAGTTCTCAACGAGTCTTTAGATGCATTAAACGAACTTCGATATTATACAAGATGCGTTGATACAATGGCTCGTTTAGAACAATGTACTCAACTTACTTTTGAAACTGAAAATGTGACCGCTGGTCGGCTTGATAAATCGATGTTGGTCGACTATCATAAAACTTTACCCGAATATATTAATATTACACCACATTTTAATCAACATGTCAGCATTCAAAGTAACGTCATTATTGATCCTAACAAAGAAAAAACTCCAGATGCAGTTTCTTTAGATAGCACCGAGCAAGGAATTATAGTAAGTTATGTATATTTGGATTATAACAGTTTTTAATTACGATTTTTTTTAGGCTGCAAAAAAATTTGCTGATTTAATGCGTAAACGTGCTCCTAATCCTAATCCAACTTCTTATGATGTTACACGTTCGAAATATGCACGTTATTACAGTGTTGATTTTCATTAATTATTTTTTTTATGTTTAAGTATTAATTGATTTGTATTTATTTATTTATAGTTATCTTGTATATTTTGAGATTGATTTATTATTAATTTTTTTTTGTGGAAAATGATTTATCCCATTTCTTCTTAATAGTTTATGTTTAAGTTCAATATTTCTTTCATTACTTCATGATTTTCACAAATATACATTTTCTTGTTAATTTCTTCTGATAAAATAGTCTAAAATGCGAATTCTTTTAAATTATATAAAGCTTTCACAGATGTTTGCAACAGATTAAAACGCTAATTCTTTTATGATACAGGTATAAAAAGATAGTTAATTGTCGATAAACCCATAAAAAACTCTAGGAGAACGGATGTTAGTCAATATCGCCAGGCAATTTATCATGAACCTCCAAAAGTCGGCAGAAATTACTGGAGTCTTTTAGTGTTTACTATTAATACAGGTAAACTTGAAGATTTTACGTTGGAAACAGCTAAGTTATAATTGAAAAATATTCTTGGAGTCTAATGCCACTAACAGTATACAAAATATTGATTCATGCGTTGAGAATAGGATTGTTGAGTAAAGAACGCAAACAACAAATTTAAAAAAAACATCTGGAATCATACTCGCCAAAATTGGCTCGGGCAAAAATAAATTAAAATCAAGATATAATTCGCCTTTGTTGATTACTTCTGATAAACCAAAGAGATATTGATGCCAACCCAAGATCTCTTCTCTCATGGAGCTCCAGCCTGACTTCTCGGGCCTTGGCTTCCTTCAAACTCGCTCGTCTCAACACTCGCACCTCACTAAGTTCCTGGTATCACCCGTGACTTCGATCTCCCACCATCTTGTAGCTTTTAAATATGGATAAGCTTTGTCTTCATTTATAACAGTTAAAGTTTTTGATTGTAACAAGTATTTTAGTATTAAGGACTCAATTTTGTAGCATATATCAGCTTAAATAATTCTGTGGCAGAACATTACTCTCTCTCTATCTTTTCAGTCGTTGTCCGATTTCGGACCCCGTAACTCGTTCATGAAGGTGACATGCCTCTCTGTCTTCTACATGTAGTACGCATAACCGACATTTGAGCCAGGTCCTTTACTTAGTCAATTTACTTAACCTCTTGTATTATGTGTTTTTGAGTTTAGTATAAGTTAATGTTTTTATTGTCGCATATTTGCAATTGTTCTAAAATTTTCTAAAAGATTTTTCGATAACGGCATGCAGCATTTATGGTCCATAATTTTGAATCTTATGTTGCAAAACGTAAGAAACACTAAAGATTTCGGAAGTGTTGTTTTAGTTTCTTCTTTTGGTCTTTTCACATTTTAACTAGTCTTCCTGAAGCCTCTTTTGCAATTCTGATTCTTCTCTTTATTTCTTGTTCTGAGTCTTCACTATTTGTTATTTTTGTGTCCAGATAGATGATCTCATCGTTAATACCTATGTCATGGATTAGCTGCAATGGTCGAGATACCATACCCGCCCGCTGTATAATCAACAAGTGGCATTTAGATCTATTCTGCCCGCACTCCAGGTTTAGTTGCTCAATTTGTTGTAACAGTTCGAACATTTCTTGTTTAACTGTTGCGACAGCGTCATCTGCGTAGCGAAGGTTCGAGATCTTTTTCCCTCCAATAGATGTTCCATCCTTTCAATTACCAGTGCTTTCATCATTACCCCTTTTCCCGATTTATAGCCTGAATTACCCTATTCAATTCCTATTTTTTATTCGACATAGGTTGCTTATCAAACAACTACATGACAGCTGTTGGATAATGTGGGTTTGATGGTCCTCTCTTCTTTTAAAATTTCAAGAAAATACAGGGTGATTCACATAAGAACCGACACAAAGCAGGGACATGTAGAGGACAATAAATTAAGATGATTTAACGCAACTTATCTCTATACCAAGTTGTACCTCTGAGGAGTTATAGGCTTTCAAAGTTGGAAAATTAAATTTTTAAAACATTGAATATCTTCGTAATACTAAGCGTAATATTAAGCTAGAAAAACCAAATTTGGTATACGTTATGAGTGTACCGAGGGTATTAATTGGTAGCAAGTTGAGACCAATTGAGGCATTTCAAAGGGTTGATTAAGGGTGATGGTTCCCTAAATTTTGGCAGATTTTTTTAACCTTTTTGTGGATTTAGTACATTATTACCTCATTTTATGTGGAATTTAATTCTAAAACTTGTCGTTTTCATAAAAAACTCAAAAAACTAAAGACGCGTATCTTGTTAATGCTACTTAAAATCATCGAAAATTCAGTAGTCGGCTGTGAAATTGTACGTAATTTGAGGAATAAACTGTTTATTATGAACTAAAAAGACATCATCCATAAACAAATTTAGTTTAGGCATAATAATTTTCTAGTGATAAAGAGAAAATCCCCAAAATCTCAAAATTAAGTACTTTTGGTTTTAAAATCGATCATAACTCAAGGATGAAAGGTGATGGAGAAAAGTTTTTTAGAAATAAATTGTTTATTATGAACTAAAAAAACATCATCCATAAACAAATTTAGTTTAGGTATAATGATTTTCTAGTGATAAAGAGAAAATCACCAAAATGTTAAAATTGAGTACTTTTGGTATTAAAATCGATCATAACTCAAAAATTAAAGGTGATGGAGAAAAGTTTATTTGAAATAAATTGTTTATTATGAACTAAAAGGACATTACTCATAAACAGATTTGGTTTAGTTATAATGATTTTCTAATGATAAAAAGAGAAAATCATCGAAATATCAAAATTGAGTACTTTTGGTATTAAAATTGATCATAACTCAAGGATGAAAGGTGATGAAAGGTGATGGAGAAAAGTTTTTTAGGAATAAGTTGTTTATTGTCAACTAAGAAGACGTCATCCATAAACAAATTTAGTTTAGATGTAATGATTTTCAGGTGATAAAGAGAAAATCCCCAAAATGTCAAAATTGGGTACTTTTGGTGTTAAAATCGATCATAACTCATGAATGAAAGGTGATGGAGAAAAGTTTTCTAGGAATAAGTTGTTTATTGTCAACTAAGAAGACGTCATCCATAAACAAATTTAGTTTAGATGTAATGATTTTCAGGTGATAAAGAGAAAATCCCCAAAATGTCAAAATTGGGTACTTTTGGTGTTAAAATCGATCATAACTCATGAATGAAAGGTGATGGAGAAAAGATGGAAAAAACCTTGTCGTCAAATAACTTTATAACCTATTTGTCAAGTTTGACTTTCAATTTCATAGCCGACTACTAAATTTTCTCTTATTTTAAGTAACATTACGAAATACGTGTCTTTAGTTATTTAAGTTTTTTGTGAAAATGACAAAGTTTTTTAAAAAATAATAAGAGTAAGAAAAGTTTTAGAATTAAATTCTACATGAAATGAAGTAGTAATGTATTAAATCCGCCAAAAGGTTAAAACCCTATGAAATGCCTCAATTGAGTTCAATTTGCTATCAATTAATACCCTTGGTACACTCATAACGTATACCAAATTTGGTTTTTCTAGCTTAATGTATTACGAAGATATTGAACTTTTTAAAAATTTAAGACTCAACTTTGAAGGCCTATAACTCCTGAGGTGTACAACTTAGTATACAGGTAAGTTACGTTAAATCATCTTAATTTATTGTCCTCTACATGTCCCTGCTCTGTGTCGGTTCTTATGTGAATCACCCTGTATATAATAAAGTTGTAAATTTTGTGTCCATCTAACACTGGATCTAGATTTCTCTACGGTGCAGTATTTCTGTTTTCCTACAATTTCTTTTACCATCATCACAATTTTGCCAAGGTTTCCTTTGGTCTTTTTGCTCAATACCACGACATTCTGTCCTCTTAAAATTGTAGGATAGTAGTTCTTAGTTCTGATGGGCATATTAAGTCTAGCCGGGCTTTACGGATTTTCATTAATAAAAATGATTCTGCATATCCACTGAAAATTGTCCAACCATGCAAGTACCTTTTGTTAATTTTTCTTGATGTCTAAGAAAGTTCTTTAAAGCGCTTTTTGCTGTTTGATTATTACAGAACTATCTGTATGTCTTTCTTAGTATTCTTAACAATGTCATATGGGATACGAAACACTGCAAATATGTTCTTAAGCTATATAATAGTCTCCTCAGAGTAGTGGTGTTGATACTTTTAATATCTATGTATTTGCTATAGGCATCCACAACTAGAAAAAAGTATAAGTTTTCAAAATAGTCAGCATATAATCCGATGATCAACTCCAGTTCCTTTTGATTAATTAATCTCTCCTCTTTTTTGACGGTTAGCTGTATTCATATAGCAACTATATCATCCCAATGTGTTGGTCGTGTAACATTTCTAGACTACTTAGTCCTAACTGGTATGGAATGATAAATTGGTTGTATAACAGGCATATTCCATCAATTAAGGTTTGACCTCTGAGTGACCTCTGAGGTCTGCAAAATGTATTAATAGGAACTATTAAATATATTCAATAATATATAAAAAAATTATAAAAACAAAAAAAATTATGATGCACCTTTTTATTTAAACATTTACCAGATTTAAACAATCAACAAACAATGATTTACAAACAAATTCCTTCCATAAATTTATTCAACCTTGGAACTTCCATCATCACCTCATTTACATTATACACCAAGTGAGTGCCTCGTTCCTTTATGAAAATGGTAAGCATATTATCTTTATTTAATAAAGTTACCAAATCGTTGTTGAAAACAAGAAGATCGCTTGGTACTTGAGTTACACCTCCAATTTGTGCATTATTTGAGATCTTTATTTCATATTTATTTCCCACTGGTAACACTGTTAAAGTAATATCTCTTAGTACGATTTTTAAAGCCTAAAAAAAAAAGATTTTTTAATTATTTTTATAAACAATAATTTTTCGATTAAATTTTTACCAATTTATTGTCAAGTTTTTTCAATAAAATCTTGAATTCAGATTCTAACGGTTTAACAATGACATCTTGAATAGCCACAACCCAATCATCCATAATAACGTTGGACATAAGTGTGTTATTAACGTTTATAACATCTAAATGATTAGCAGAACAAATATGTGTCATTCCGGTAACGTGCATCATTTTTTGGATGTTGCTATAAAGAAGATTATCGGGAATGAAAAATCCGTATCGTCTAAAATTAACAGCAGGAAGCGCTGTTAATTTATAACGATGATCTCCTTTAACCATTTCCATATCGAGTACATCATTCGGAACTGGATAAGTCATCACGATCTTTATATTTTCATTAGTTGGTTCGTTTGATTTATCGATCGAGTAATGATCGTAATAATTAACTTTTAAGAATTCCAACATTCTTTGACTAAACCTTTGTAATCTATCGGGGACGTTTTTAGATTTAATTTCAAATTCGTATTTTCTAATCGTTAATTTATCGGCTAAACACGAATAAGAAGGCATTCTGGAAGGAATTTCTAAGAAAACTTGTCGATGACATGATGGAAAATTGAAATTTCCTTTTAATTGTTCAGGAAGGCGTTCACCTTTCATGATAATATCGATTTTTCCTCCATCATCTTTACAAGTTCCATCGGTAGTTTCCCCCATTTTAATATCTAAGTTTCCAGTAAATTCCAAATTTGCATTTATCCCCTTATAAACTTCTATTCCTTCGAGACAAATTTTATAATCAGTTTCTCCTGGTTTAATTCTCGTTAATTGTGCTTTAACGCTATTTACAGTATGTCCGCTATTTAATTCCCAATTAATACTGGCATCCCAACGCTTCATCAATTCTTCTTTATTTTTTAACGAGAAACTTCCTTTTACTATTATATTCATTTCGGGTAAAATTAATGAATGCGTTTCTTTGGTGATTTGGTGGTCTAAACGAAGTGTGACTTCCATATTTGTAATGGGATTAATTTTACTTGGTTGCATTAACATTAAAACACCTCTTCTTCCATGTTTATACATCATTTCTAATTCATTATCCATTGTTGAGTATTTCAACATGTTGCTGACTAAATTATCGTCGAATTGAAGGTGTTTTAGCATAAGTTCTAAATGCGAACAAACATCTAATCCTTCTGTTTTTAACGGAGATATTTCATCAACTGATTTTGAGTCTTCAGTATCGAATATTGTTACGCTCGATTTAAAACCGGTGTTTTGATCGTCGCTTTCGATTATGGTATGCTGAAATTAAATAAATTTACTCAATAACGTTTGGATTCGTGAAAATAAAATTACTTACAGTATTTCTAACATCGAGATTTGTTGGTAATATGACATGTCCTAAAGCGTTTGGATTAAATTTCTTTAATGTGTTCGAATTAAGGTGATTATAATTTAATACGTGATGAGCAACGTAACTTCTGGCTGCGATAACGTTATCTTCTTCGTTCTTTTGTCCTCTCCAAGATATTTTAAGTAAATCTTGTTGTAAATTCAAGTTGATATCGAGAGTAATCGGAATAACGTTATCATAAATTGTTGTTTTTCCAACACCTTGCCATGTTTGCGAAATTGGATTATGAGTGTATAACCCGTTATCATAATATTCGGACCAATCCAATTTTCCGTTAAAATTCAAAGTTATAATGTTATCTTTGTAATCAAAATGCATGTCGAATAGTCTTCGTTCCAATATAACCCTTTGTATATTTTGGGAAATATGGAATCCTATGTTATTTTGCACGTTAAGGCGGTAAACGAAATCGAAATTTATATCAATAGCAGTTTCGTCTTCAAACTTCGAATATTTCATGTAAAATTTTAGTTTATCAAGATAATTGGATTTATGTAAGGTATCGGATAATAAGATTTGACCATTTTCGGCATACCCGATGTCGAGGAGAACATGTTCATTGTCCAAAATCTTCATAATATTTTTTAAAACCTCGTTGTAATTAAACAATTTCATTCCTTTCTGTATGTTTAATTTTAAATCGTTTAAAAGTTTTCCTTGTAACCCGCTAAGTCTCATATAAAAGCTAATCGGTCTCATGTGCATATTCATAATAGTTTTCCCATATCCAAGATGTAACAATAAAGAATCATTTGAATCGATAATAAACCAATCTAAATATTCCCCTCGGTTTATTTCAGGTTTATATTGCTCGACTAATTTATATCCTGTTAAAGAATGTCTGTAAGGTGAATGCATATATTTCATTAATTGTATCGCTTTCAATTTCATCGCTTTTCTACACGGATTTTTTATATTTGCCATAGATTGCATGTAAGTATAATAAAATTGATATAAATCAATATCAGTTTCCGTTAGCATCATCCAATAAATATTAATTAATTCCGATAAACGTGGTTGAGATTGCATAAATGTGTAAAAAGCCATTATTCGGTAATCTGTTGGTAAAGATCTATCCATTAAGATTTGCAGCGCGGATCCATCGTAACGATCAGCTATGGTTCTATGTAGTGTTGTTAAAGCTTTCATTCTTAATTCTTTATCATTTAAAAATTGAAGAAGATAATCATGAGTCATCCATGAACCTAAATTGTGTAAAGTATTAAAGTAAGAATATTTTTCCTCTATTATATTCGTTGCTTTTAACTTTTTAATGATAGTTTTAATAACTTTCTTTTCTGTTGTAGACGAAATGTAATGTGATTTTTGAGCTCTATGCATGAACGAACCGTAACATAAATTAGCCACATTTTGAATTTCCCAAGAAACACCAAGATCCAACAAAACGTGCAAATCATTAAAGATCTCTTCATTTATGACGGTATAAAAAGGCATTTTTTGAAGTGCTCTAATCGCTTGGAATTCATTTAATTTTTTCGTTTTAATTAATGAAATTAATAATTTTATCGAATCGTGTGTTCCAACTTGTGCTATCACTTGATAAAACACATCGGTTTCTTTTTGACCTTTCTCGATTAATAATTTTAAAAGATTTTCCAACATATTCATATCGAAATGTTGTAAAATAATTCTTAATCGGCTCGGAATATGATGTTTTTCGAAATCGGGCATTGACAAATCAATTTTACGAGTTTCAATAAATTGGATTACTTCTTGAATAAGATTTACTGCGATTGGTATTAATGTTTCTTTGTTCGTAATATTATTTACTGGTAAATTAGGGTCGTTGAAATTCATACTTAATGAATCAACTTTATCTTCTTTTTTAAATGTCCATGGTGTTTCGATATCATGCATATGAATCATTTCTAACGTTTGGGTTACATAAATGCTGTATGGTGGAGGTACGCCTTTAAATGGATGATAATAAACTCCGCCGGTTTGCACAATTTTTTCCATTAAATTTTTTGATTTATTCAGTGTATAAACTCTTTGTAAGTCTCGCGATAAAGGTTCTTCGAATGATTCATCACATGTGAACGAATCCACGTTATGGAGAGATTCGTCATGGGAACCATACAGTGTTCCTAACATTTCAATTTTTAGCATGTTATCGTTTGGAATGTAATTCCAAATAGTGTTAGCTTCTCTGATTGTTTGGAATTTAGTGGATTTCATGGACATTCCGTGCCAACGAATGATGAACATTTGAGCTAATCCTTTTTGAATATTTCGAATAAATTCCGGGGTGGTTTCTTCAAAAATAATCTCTTGAAAATCGCCATATTCATCCATAACGAGTTTGAAATGAGATGATAAAAGTGACATGTGATCGCCGAGTTGCATAGGAACTTTTTCCGGAAATTCGGATACTTTTCCATTATCCATGGTGTAATTTAAATTGGTTAATTTTAAGAGGAGTTCATTCTCATCGCTTATTTGGACGTGAAGAACACCTCTTAAATGGAACATTGAAGAATAATCATCGGGGAGGGATATTCCAGCGTTTAAAGTAGCTTCGTAGTTATAATCGATTTCTTTTCCAATTGGAATTAAATCATTCCAATAATTTTTGGGCCGTTGTTCATTTAAACTTTCAAATGCATTTGCATAAAATGCTAAAATTTATTTCTCGAAATTTGTTTTATTATAGATAAAAATAAACTTACCAAGCACAATCAAAGCAGTTATTCGTCGCATTTTTGGATGAACGAAACTCTTCTGGATTATTTTAATTTTTGCAATATATATATTCGCCCACATCGGGCACCTTTCACCCCTCCAAATCAGTTTTAAGATAATCCCAAATAAACAGTACAGTTTGATAGGATAATATTTACATTTATATTCTAATTAAGCCGAAGAAATTATAATTAGTACGGAATTAATATCTTTTAAACTTTGTTGTTTCGAATTTAGATATGAAGGTACTTTCAGGAACATAATATTATTCTTTTGATTGCATGTTTGTAATTGTGAGTCTTAATTAACCAAAAACATAAAAAGTATAGAAATTCCTTAGATCATAATTTGTTTAGTCTACTAGGTATACCAAAATTAATGGTGTTGTTAAAAGATAACTGCTATTACCTAATACTTATTTATTAAAAACCTTAAATCGCGAATACTGTATCTTTACTGTGTAATAAGTCATATTTTAAGCTACTAAACTTAACTACAACCGTCAAGTATATATCTATCAACTACCTACCCCGAAAGTACTCTAAAATTTTTGAGTATTAAATTGTTGCCATATTGTGAAATGCTTCATTCAAAATTACCTGAGAAAGATGTTGCAAATATGAGGAAAAAAGACTTTTTGATGTATTAACAAGGAAGTAACATAACTACATTCGACTTGAATAAATGTTGTAATGTTGTCAACTTTTTAAATTATACATGGTCTGCCATAGCTGACCAACTATGGGCATCACTTTTTTAACCTAAAGTTCTTGTCATAAACTTCTGCGCCATTTTGAACATTGAAAAGGGACAAAAAGGGGCATCGATAAACATTTTTACCGAGATAAAGGTATCCGATACTCTGTATCCGGGTAATAAGAATAATAATAATAAATTCTCCAGGTAGGCGGAGGAGTTGACCATACACTAACTCTGCGGGGGAACAACCTAGATCTTCTTTAAGTGAAGATCTAAGGTCCAATAGTATAATTGGGAGGTCGTTGTTCCACCTATAGCTGTTTCCTCTGACAGCAATGGCAGCTTTAAGGGTTCTATGGAACCTTTCTAATATGCCATTACTTTGGGGATGAAAGGCTGAAGTGTGGATCTGATCAGATCCAAGCTAATCTAATGAAATGGCGAAATAATCGGGACTCGAATTGCCTTCCTTGATCTTGTGTGATAGTGTGTGGTATACTAAATCTTGAGAAATGTTGCGGCTATAGTAGATGTCGTAGTGTCAGGTATTGGGTACGCTATCGGGCCATCTACTGAAGCGATCTATGGCTGTTAGTACAAAATAACAGTCTAATGAAGGAGTAAAAGGACCTATTAGATCTATGTGTATATGTTCGAATCTACCAGTAGGTACCTAGATTAAATTTCTGAAGTGGAGATTTTGTGTATCTTTTGATTTTAGTTTTCTGGCAAGGTATGCAAGTTTTACACTATGATTTTACTTGCTTGGCTAAATGTGGCCCAAAGAAACGATTTTTGATATTATTTAAGGTCGTTTTAAAACCTAGATGTGTTATCAATGAAAGTTGCTTTATGTTGGGGTTTATTGAAAGGAATGAATAATATAATGTAATAACAAACTTTTGTTGCCAAGATGTATTTTAAAAAAAACAAGGTCACTAAATCTTTTTGTTTGACGAAGGATCTTGGATTTAGGGAATGGATTTTGTAGACATGACGCTGCAATCCGGATACTTTTTTCGGTGTTCGGGTACCTTTTAATTGAGTTTTTTTTTAATTTCCTATTTTACACACTTAAGGGAATGTCGTCAGGATTGGCCATACTTTTGACTTTTATCCATAACTTCGGTTTAAAAAAAAATCAGATAATTCTTGTACGTTGTTAAAAAGGTCCGGAAAAAAGAAAACTTTTTCGAGATATTAGGAATTGATTAGGTGAATAATGAAAAAGCAATAAGTATTTTTAAAAAGTAAAATTGCTGTCAACGTTGGCCCTTGTTGTCTAGGTTGGGCCTCCGCTGAAAATCAACGAAATATTCGCTGAAATGATTGTAAATAACCTGTACAAATTGAGTAAATGAAGTAAAAAGCCAAATTTCTTTTTTTTTAATATTTTATTTTTACAAAATAATGTTCGACAAAAATGTCTCAAATGGCATATTATTCTGAATCGCAGTTTTGACAAATGAAGTTGTTCATTACTTTGCTCACTTCAAATGCACTTCTCTTTTGCATTCAACGCACGCAATGGAATTCATAATACTCAGGTGAAGAGGCATCGCTTCTAAACAGATGATCATCAGAAGAGGAGCTTCTTGCACTTTTTTGGGTGGGCGACCTCGTTTTTCTGGTGTTTTTTTGGTGGACTTTGATGGGTTTTTTGGGTGTCTTTGAAGTTTTTTGCTTTTGTTACTTCTCGTACATAGTGGAGATGCTCTCTGGCGAAGTCAGAACTGTGCTGTTCATGGGTCGCCGTCCTCGTTTCGATTTTTTTGCTGGCATGGCAGGTAAGGTTCAATATACCTCACGACTTCTTCATGTACGCTAACTTCGGGGACATCTGAAACAATTATACGACGTTGTAGTTCCTTGTCGTGGAGTTTTACCACTAAATACCGCTTGCACAAATTCCGACTCCGCAAAAATGTTCTGGCATCTCCAGAATCTTTCACGTAAGCTAGAAAGCAATGGTTCGAATTCTAAACAACCTAAGTCTTCTAAGGAGAGATGATCTGAAGCCTAGAAGAACCAATGGAAGCCCGTTGTTCCACCTCGTAGAGTTACCTAAAATATTGAACACAATGGAGCAATTCGAAAAAGATGAGTTGCCTAGAACCAAATTCTCATTTTCAAAATTTTTTCTCTTTTATTTTCATTAAATGAAAATAAACTCTTCTAAAAAATCCTTCTCTTTTGGTTCTTTAGATTTCTCCTTGATGGAAATTTTACCTTTATTAAAAACTTGATTCGATACTTCCAATTCTTCAGCCACCGAAACGTTTTAATCCTAAAATATCCATTCTTGAGTTAGCCAGTAACAGCTCCGGCGAAAACAATGTCAACAAGGTAATTTCAAAAAACTTGCTATTTAAAGAAAAACGAGGATAGTCAGGAACTTTTTCTCTACTTTTATAATACTTTTGGAACGTCTCTATATAATTAATATTTTCTTCTGACTTGTCTACAATTGTGAATGAACGTTGAGTACCATTTTTAGAGTTAGGAATTTTTATCACAACAAATTTTTCGCTAATATTGATATCTATTAACTTCATTTATCAGCATAGTTCGTCAGAGCGACAAGCAAAAGCGATCCCTACAACCATTACTGTCTAAAATAAAAATATTTTTGTAAAACTAAGTTAAATTTACAAATGACCTTCATTAGTAAATGGACTTTATAATGACTATAATAAAGCCTGATTTTCTTTTTGGATATATCGTTAGTAATACTGTCACGACAAGTAACATCGTCACAATTACTGATTAAATTGTTGATTAAGCGACGATTTTTTTATGTCTACTATGATACCAAATTTGTCTAGAAAGTCGGCGCCAATAATAGGTTTATCTACATTTGCTATGGAGAAGATATGAGGAAAATTTCGTCTTAATAAAGTTAATATTAAAAGTTTTTTACTATATTATTATTAGCATATTATTGGCATACCGTTACCAACAGTAAGAAACGAAGTCGTGTTTCTTTTGTGATTTTGGTAAAATTTGAAAGGAAGTACAAAAATATCAGCTAGAGTATCAATAAGAAAATTGATATTGGTTAGATCTCAAAGACGAGAACTAATCTCATTTAATGATATATATTGTCGATAAAAAGGTTTATTGAAATTTTGAATTTTTTCCATTGCAACTTTATTTAGTTTTTGTATCTGAAGTTTTGGTCAAATGAGTGTTAGTTGAAAGAAGTCGAAGAACTTACAACTATTGCCCTCACAGTTTTTGGCTTTGTCACCAAATTTCTTAATTTTCTGAATTTACGAACTAATATTTGGGAAGGAAGCTTAGGATATTTTGCAGGATATTGACTTCTGCTAGTGGGAAAAACTAGTAAGAAATAACATTTCTCGAACGTTATAGTGTCCTTACGTTCTTTATGACTTAAATAATTTTATTATTAAATTAAAATTTTTTAAATTTAACGGTTTCTTCAATAAGTTACAGCACTAACTCAGTGATGGCGCTGTTTGTTGTGTAGATGCATCATGCGCATGCGCAGTCCTGATGTTCATCAAAGCGTCCACCATGCGTCCAGTTGTGTGAAATAATTGCATGTTTCCGAAGCAAAATAGTGTTAAAAAGTTAATTAATTGCATGGTAAGGTATCTTATAAGTTGGGTTTGACGAAATATTATCATTTATTGCAGCAATCGCGTTCGAAATACTATTAATTTTGTTTAGTTTGCCGGAAATAAAACCGAAAAAAAAATTGTATTGATTTAGTAAAACGACGCCATTTTGAATTGCGTGATGTACGTCGGCTTTTATGATTTCCGCTTGAAAAATTCGTTGTTTTCACCGTTTCATTGGATACGGACATTATTTACAAAATCTGTTAAACGTTTTCTAACGGTAATGAACCCATCCGACCTTCTCTAATACGATATTTACAGGTATTCGGTGCTCGCATTTAGCTGAGTGCTCGTGGCTATGGAGCCCCTTAACCCCAATTTACTGACACAGACGCTGAACTTCCACGGCCAGCAGATGCAGAAGCTGTGGGAGTCGGAACGCGGCGAACAGGATCTTGTCAAAAACAGCATTCGAGACCTCAATTACGACGTTTATAATAAACGCAACAAGCACTTGTCCTTCCAGGATAGAGGAAAAAGGCTCAAACTTCAACAGTTTATCGTCAGAAAGGCGAATGTTATCTTTTCACCTGAGAATACAGCTGAAAAAAATAAACCTCCCACTGAGGAATCTGTTATTACGGAAGATATGTATGCCATTATGCCTCCTTTGGAAACTTATTTAACTGCCGATAAACAAGCTCGACTTAAATATTTTTTTGAGGTAACTAATTTTATTTTATTACATGATTAGACTTTACATTTTATTTTTTGATAGAATGTAAAAATTGGAGATTTAATTTTGGGAACAATAATGAGCAAGACTCAATCAGGGATGATGTTGAAGGTACTTTGCACTACAGGAATAGGAGCAACTGTATATTATGTCCATGATATAAATGTAAAGGTATGTTAAATAATAAATAAGTAAGTTTTCTTGAAAAAAATTTGTTTCTCCACATTATTAGGCATTTTGTCCTGTTGCCAATATAATACCAGCAGTTGATCGTAAAGGCGTCAGTAGAAGTTACATGATGAACGATTCAGTTTGTTGTGAGGTTCTTGAAGTTATTCCTGACACTGATAAAATGGTCTGCGGTATGAAGGGCACCACACGTGAACCTAACGATCCGCCACACCGTCCCGCATTGGGATTGGTTAGTGCTGATGATTTTCCATTGGTTTACAAGTAAGATAATCATTAATTTATAATTAGTTTTTAATGTTTTATAGAACACCAGAACAAAGTTTGTAAAGCGTATTGTATGAGGTTAGTTTTTAAAGTTTTCAGATATTGTGACAAGTAATTTGAAGTAAGAAGAATGATAACATCACACTTGCAATTGTTGAACTTGAAAAATGAAAGGAATTTACTTAGAAATCTATAGAAAAGATCAAAACCAAGATTAAAGAATAACATATATGCACAAAACTAAATTCAGAGATATTTGAAAAGAATCAAAAGAAATCTTGATTTTAAAAATACAGAGTTAGTTGTCCAGTTCCTGTTTCTGAATCTTTCAATATTCATTCAAGATAAAATTTTGTTTTAGATGAAATTTATTACTTTATATTTGATGAAAAAGTAATTTTTGAACAATTGGGCCCTATTCAACTTTGTAGGCCTTATTTGCAGGTGTCCAAAAAGTTCCCATACTTTTTTAGATGTTTCAACAAGCTATAACTATCAGACAATTTAATAAAACCACATATTAAAAAAATAGAGAACGATGAAAACAATAACAATTAATTTTATCTAAACAAACATAATTTCTATTTCTACCATAATCTCATTAAGGCGCGTACCAGAGCCTATAAGTGTTGAGCGCCTGATATTTTTGGCTCTAATGCGGCCAATACACACGCAAATTAATATTGATTCTTCAGAACTTACCATATGTGAATATGTATATACAACTAAACTATAGTATCACCACACTAAACCTTCTATACAATTCCATTAAATCTGAGAAACTGAAGTGAATAGTGTATGGCAAAAACTGGCGTTCAGTTTTGCTTGAGAGCTTAATTGAGGAGCGTCTGTTCCAAAGGCTATTTCCATACTAAAGAAATTATAGAAAAACTAAAAAAACTTATAGTTATTGAAAAATGTATGTGCAGGTATATATTTTTTAAATTATAATAATTTTTTATAATGCCACAAATTTTTAGGATAAAATATTTCTTTGAATGATTACTAAAAAGCGCAAAATTTAACATTAAGAAATGGAAAAAGCACCTTTTGATTAGAATTTCTGAAAATAGCACCTTTTGATCTGAAATGAAAATTAAGTAGCACATTTTGAACAGAACATTGGATATATAGCACTTTTTAATTATGAATGCATAGAGTAAAAAGCATAGGTTAAGGGTAAATAAAAAAACAGACAGAACAATACTTATTTATATTCTGATTACACCATCATGCTCCAAACAATCACACGATTCATCATGCTGATGATCTTCAACATCGCCATTAGTCATTGTAGTTTCTTGATCAAAAATAATATTTTTAAAAAAATGCCAACTCCTTTAAGTCAGCCCAACTGTTGTCACAAAACTGCTTGACAAGTAAATTAGCTACATCTTTGTTTTTGTTCCTGTTTATACCTTGAGGTCTCATGGGTAATTGTGCAACAGGCTGGCAATGGTGTGATAATAGTATTTTGACACTTGCCATAGAGTATCAATGTCACATAGAAATCAAGAAAATAGTCATTTTTGAATAGAACTTTCTTTGAACAGAAATTAATTAAGTGTTTAATAATCAGTTTCAATCAGCAAAAAATAGCACTTTTTGAACAGAATCAAAAAATTTGTACCAAATTTGAAGGAGATATTTTTACCAAGACTAAACACAGTCTGTAGTAGGATCCTATATCACCAGTACATTTCACTAAAAAATGTATGAAACTACCAATACAGAAATACCTCCTTTTGAATAGACGCTCCTCAATTGTAAGTATTTACTTGCGGACTTATCTGCATGTGTATAGGGTGCATAAAACAGAGTAATGCATTGCGTTGAGATCTAGTGAATTAGGTGGTTAAACGTCTTAGCCCCAAAAGCTAGGAAACAGCTCTTTGCAAATGGCGATTGTCGAATTGGTCTCGCCAAGCCAAGTGTTACAAATACCAACCGCAAGCTTCCTTGCCATTTTGATCGAACGCTTCGGGTTGCGTTGAACGCCACAACGGATCTTCTGCACATTCTTCGGTGTTTTAAGTAAACTAGCGTTTTAAATAATCAAACATTCAAATCAAATTTGACACAAAAATTGATACTCTTAATGAAAAACTAGACTGTATTAATAAAAAAAACTAGATTTGCCTACATAAGACTATCTACTGCTTATTAAAGAGTGATTTCTGAGGACTAGACTCTGCTAATAAAAGACTAGGTACAGCTTGCAAAAGTCTAGATATTGCTGACAGAAGAATAGATATTACTGGTAGAGTGCAAGACACTATTAATGAAAGTCGAGATACTGTTAATTTACTGCTAACTAAAGATTAGGCGCCGCAAGTAGAAGACTAAATATAGCTTGCAGAAGACTAAATACACCTGACAGAAGAATACATACATCTCATTGAGAGTTAGACGCTGCAAATAGAAAACTAGATACAGCTTGTAAACGACTAGATATTGCCGGTAAAAAAAGTATATACTGTTTGCAGATGACCAGATACTGCTAATGAAAGACTAGATACTGCTACTTGACGACTAAGCGCCGCAATTAAAGGACTAGACACAGCTTGCAGAAGTCCGGGAGTATCTAATGCTAAAGAAAGACTGGATACTTGTAATGGAAGAGTATAGACTGCTTGTATAAGACAAAATATAGATAAATACTGTGTACAGAAGACAATAGATTACAAATGGAATACAAGATGTCTCAAAGGACGCCACGTAGTCCATCCAGTCGCCTTGTAACATTTGACGGCATAATAAACAGTTTGAAAAGGCATCATAAAGTTTTAAAATCATCATAAAGCTAAGTTTCCATATGCACGGATTACTGGCGCCAGTTCATTTGCATGTGGAAATAGCAAAAAAACACTGGCGCCAATAAATTGGTGCCTGTAATTATAGCACCAATAAAGTTGACGCTACTTCTACTTTTTGGCGCCAGTAACAGTATTTATAAAGAAAACGTGTAACTATTAACGTGTTCGTCCAACTAAAATTAACAAATCCGCTAATAAACCGCCCAAAAAATGGACATCAGAACAAACAGTACTATTTCTAGAAACGTATGAACAAATTTTCTTCTTTGTGGAATCAGAAAATTCCACAATATAAGGACCGACTAGCACGAAATGAAGCTGTCAGAAGGATAGTTGAAATTATGAAGAAAACAGTTCTTAATTTTGACGAAACCACGGCAAAAGCAAGAATACGAAGTATACGCAATACGTATACAATTGAATACCATGAAGTACTTCATCATAAAACACTTCACATATAAATTTAGAAGTTGTGTTTTTTGGCAAACGATACATGTATTGCAAGGATGTAGGAGAATCTCCAGAAGCCAAAAGTTGCTTGCAGTTTTACGTCAGCTGGAATGGCATCTCTCATGCGTATGTTGTTTTTGTATTTTAGAGGTTCCTTGCCTCAACAAAAACATGAAACTCTCTTCAGTCATTCTTAAATGATTAAAAAATGCTTGCTGATCTTCATGGCATAATTTTCTAATTAAAGTACTAGACGCACCTAGGTTATTTCTACGTGCAATCCCCAGCAACTAAGTTTTCGCTTTTTTTTTTGTTAATAACGTGTGTAGTTGGTTACAAATAATACCGGGAAATAATTCAAATTTTTAAAATAATGTAATTGAATTAGTTTAATATATTTAGTATGGTACATAATTAACAGCAGTAGTAAAACGGAAAATAATTCAACTTAATTTTTGATAAAATTTATTTATCATTAAATAATTGAGGGAAACTTAAGTAGTAATAGATTTATGTTATCACTAGAGAAGACACTTCAACTCTCGCTAAACATGACCTTGAGGTTGCGCGCGCAATCCGTGGCCATTTACGTCACAAAACACTCCTGCTCTTGCCCCTCGCCCACAAACTAAAATTAAAGTATTGCAGCATACTTTAATAAACTTAGATAAACTGAACTTAGACAACCTTTAATATATAAACCTTGAGCGCGAAGTACATCACTTGAGGCCATTTTTATTATTGTGCCGTACATAATTATTTATGTAGAAACAACTTTTGGCGCCACTAAACTGGTTTCGTACTGGCGTCAGTAATTCGTGCATGTGGAAACTTTATAAACAATAAATTACAATGCTCATTGTTCATTAACGTCTAGAAAAAGTACGGGAACTTTTTTAATACTCTGTATTTTTGTCATAGCTTCATATTCTGTAAATTATATCTACGAATTGCAAATGTCGATGTTGCTAAAGTGAGACATAAGCTTTATTTATGAAAAATCTAGCTAATCTGTTACAATACAATACGCTTTTCGAACCTTGTACCAGAGTACAAAAGATGTCTGTCTTTCAAGACTTTTGAGTTCTGGTGATTTATTAATTTGTATTTGAAGTGAGAATTCGCCACAATATATATTTATTATGTGAGTTCTGTAAAAAAAAGAGAAAGAGAAACATTTACAGCTGGAGATTTTTGATTGGAGAAAATTTTAAAAGATGTTGTTTCTATCCGTAGGTATCTCATACGAACTATAATAACACTAATAAAAGTTTCTGTTACAAAAATACTAAATAGATATATAAAAAAACTATATATATATATATATATAAAGCAAAATGTGTGAACAAATAATTTAAAATTGCACGAATTTAGCGCAAATTGGGTTCATAGATATTCATATCAGCCGTATCGAGCCTAGTGCGTGTCGTTTTGATGACGAGAAGCATTACAGGTGAGATAAATTTTAGTTGATTTTAAGAAGAAAATTACGCGACGATTTTGGATTTTAAAAATAAGCTAGAAAAGCTTTCGTTTTTCGTCGTATCTTATCGAGATGATATTTCCGTTGTAAATTTTAATCCAACCTAAATCGAGTTATTTCATTAAAAATTACAAGCGGATTTATAAAATTTTTGGACCAAACAAAAATCAATACTTTAATTCCTTAGCTTTAATTCCTCATTTTTTTGGTATGTATAAAGATCGATAAGCTAAAACAGACAAAAAAATTCTTTAAGCTCCCCGTTTTGTTTTTGTGAATTTGGGCTTTGGAGTATTCTTGGAATAAAACAAAAAAAAATTATGGATTGTACAAAAAAAGTTTTCTGAAGATTATAATGGTGAAAACTAAGAACAACATATGATGTGTCCAGATTCACAAATCCCTGTTTTTATTGCAGCAACAACAAATCAATAAAAATACAGTAAAATGGAACGCTTTATTTGTAAAAAAAAGACAAAGTTTTTCAAAGTTTTTGTTTGCGCCAAATTTGGTTGGGGTCATTCCTTAATCGGAAGGTACACTTGTTTTACAGGAAAGCTTTGGATCACAAGAATGACAATTACGAAAGTGTACTGGAGAAGAGTGTTGGTTTCAACAATCCCAACAATATTTCTTATTTGGCTTCACAAATGGGCATTGATACTCATCAAAGTCTTATGGATGGGTTAAGGTAACACAAAAACAACAAACACATCATTTTCCTTCTTTGAATCGATTTTTTTATTTTGTTTTATAGAGGAAGATTTCCTGAACCAGAATACGCATCAGAATTACGTCAACAACAAGCTAGTAAATGGGCATACAGCAACGTTGCAGATGGAATTGATCATTTCAAAGCTGGACGACACACCGAAGCTTTTCAATGCTTAAACAAAGCTTTAAATATAGACCCAAAAAATGTTGAAGGTTTAGTGGCTAGAGGAGCTTTATTTGCAAACAGCGGTAATTTTCAAAAAGCAATTGAAGACTTTGAAACCGCTTTAAAATTAAATCCGAATCACGCAAATGCTAGAAAATATATGGGCGAAACATTAGTTGCTTTGGGCCGTAGTTATGAGGAAGAAAATAAAATAGAAGATGCTAGAAAAGCTTATCAAAGTTGTTTAGCGATAATTCCATTTCATGAGGAAGCGCAAAATTCGTTGGAATTTTTGAAAAGTAAAAGCCAAACCAAGAATTTAATTGAACCAAATGAGTTGTTATTACCTAATTTGGCAGCGGGGGGTGTTTCAAAACAACCAGATGTTCATGATACATTAAAACAACTATTAAAAGGCGAAGAAGAAGAGAAAAAAGATAAGAAAAAAAAGAAGAAAAGTAAGAAAAAGAAAAATCGTAGACGATCAAGTTCGACTTCAAGTTCTTCCTCTTCTGGGAGCAATGAGAGTTCGAGTAGTTCATCATCAAGCAGTTCAGATTCAAGCTCCACATCTGGTGGTTCTGACTTTAAAAAGCACAAAAAACGTCGTTCTCAATCGCATAGAAGAGAAAAACAAAGCTCTTTATCACCCCTAAGCAAAAGAATGGCTCTCATGGATCCAAGTCACGAAGCTCCAATGAACTACCAATTCAATAAACCAGCTGCTTCAAATTCGTTCGATTTTTCGTTTGAACAACCAGAACAACCGAAAGCTCCACCAGAACCTGATGACTATGAGCATAAAGTTCGTGCATTTTTAGATCAGACGAAAGGCGATTCTGATTATGAGGATAAGGTAAGGAAATTTTTAGAGGAGAGCACCAAATGGAAGAAAGAAAAACGTGGCGAAGAAAAAAAGAAAAAGAAGAAGAAGGACAGGAAATCCAAAAAGGAAAACAAGAAAAAGAGGAAGAAGGAGAAGCGTCGTAAGCAATTCGATTTAAGTGAATATGAACTTAGAGATGCTCTTAAAAAAGAATTGGGAATTAAGGATAAAGAAAAAAAGAGTAAAAAACATGGATTAAATTCAGATGATGAAGAATATTTGTTACATAAAGTTACAGCAAGTAAGAAATTTTTGGAAAGTCTTCCTGATTTAGAAGAACTTGAATCGAAATTATCTGCATATTACGCTCTCGAAAAAGAATCTAAAAGGTAAGTAACCTTTCATTTTAATTTCTAATCTTCCGCACTGTTTCTTAATTTTCGTAAATTTCCCATTTTAATTTTAACTACACCAGGAGTGAACTTAGTGATAGTCCGAAACGCCTAATGGACTCTCCCTCTCCAACTAGGGAACAAAAAGCTCGACAAGCGGTTGCGGAAGCTTCCGCCGCTAGTGGCGTTCCAAAATGGAAGATGCAAATTGGTCAGGCGACGGCTGGTAGTTCTCGTTTCAAGAAGAAACCGGAACGCGAAGATTGGCATGATGACTCTGAAAAACAACAACGTTTAAGCAAGAATGGTGAGCTTGATATGGGTGGGTCATCAAAGAAGATTGCCCCGGTTCCTCCACCAATGTCTGATGAAAAAATGGGCGGTTTACGCAAACCCATGTCTATGAAGGATACAGTGTCAAAGAAGACGGAATCGGAGCTTTTGAAAAAATTGAGGCCAGCTCCTCCGGGTCCCCCTAAACCAGTTATACCGCCAGGACAGGTGGTTTTGGACAAGTTTGGAAATTTCAGGCTTATGACACCACCGAAGGAGATGAGCAGAGGTTCGGAACCTGACTTACCACCTTTACCAGCTGGTGCACCACCTAAAGGGTCATTTGCAGGTATCTTTTTTATTTTTAATTTTATCAAGGGGGGATAACGGGAAATTTAAGTTGGAATGATTAGATTAATCTTTCTTTTTTAAATTTATTTTGAAGAATGGGATATATACCTGCAGCTTGTTGATCAGAGGTGGTGGTGGTTATTATTATTTATGTTTTTTCTTTGCAATTACAATGTTTTTTTATATGTTATATTATAAACGTTTCTAAATAATTTTTTTAATTTTTGCTTGGTTTCTGTGAATTTTTTGAACATCATTAGGTTTTCAGAAAATTTTTCAATTGTATTTGCTCTAGGTCGTAAACCTCCAGAACCACCAGGTAGACCACGTTCCATGTCAAAATCACGAAGCCGCTCTCGTTCTAAACCTCGTTACACCCGCTCAAGATCTTCAAGTCAATCTCGCTCAAGATCTCGCAGTTATCGTAGTCGTTCTAGATCGTATTACAGCCGATCTCGGTCACGTTCCGGATCTTATTATTCCAGGAGTAGATCCCGTTCTCGCAGTTATTCCGGGGAACGTCGTCGTTATAATAGGCCTCGAGGAGGTTTTCGTGGGCGTTACAACGATCGAGGAACTTATTACAAACCGAGATTCCAAAATCCGCGTCAAAATTATCAAAGGGGTGGTCGTGGAAATTACCGTGATTACAGGAATGATAGGGATTATAGGGGTGGACGAGGTGGTGGTAGACCATATTATAATCCACGTGGTGGGAGGAGGCCGCGTGGTGGAAGATTCCGAGGTGGTGGGGGTTATCGTGATTACAGGGATAGAAGATATGATAGGAGTAGGTCAAGGGATAGAAGTAGGTCGTTTAGCGGAAGCAGAGATAGGGATTCTGTGGAACCACCAAAGAAAATTCATGATGCTGATAAGGATAAGATTAATAAGTATGCTGATGGTGATGGGGAACCAATTAGGCATGAAGGACCGTTGTCTGAAGGTGAGGATAGAGATGATTATACTACGGAGAAGTTTGTGGATAGAGAGGCCTATGATGGGAAGTGGGCTGAGAAGGATGATTCTGGAAGAGGTGATGGCGATGATGGTAGGGATGATGGTGGAAAAGACATTCCTTCAGAAACGAATATTGAGGAGATGGATAAATTTTTAACTAAGGTAAAGAAGGATAAGAAGGAAGAGATGATGGAAAGAAACAAGGATTTTTTAAAGAATAAGGAATAACTTTAATGGCCAATTTTACGTTCTTAGGTGTAGTTTTATGATTATTGTTGATTGATTGTAAAATAATAATTGGAGTTTGAAAAAGATACATTTCCAGATTATCACAATTTGTAGTGTGGCTTTTTTGTTTTACACTGTATTCGATTGTAGTTCAACAAAAAAAAATAAAGGGTAGTGTATAAAATATTTTGAATTTATTTTCTATACCTTCACTAATCACCTAATAATAACGATTTCAAAAATTAAAATTTCTCTTTTAGATTTTTTTGGAATTAAAACGATATTTAAAAACAACAATAGAATAGTTCAATGTATAAAATGAACAATACATTGTTTAACAATTAAGTCGTCGAAAATGGTTTAGTATAACGAAATAGGCAACGTTTTCCAATGAGCAATAAATGTGTAACGATAAAACGAAACAAAAGATTCATGGGCGCGTTTAACGCCGAGATAAATGGACTGATCCGATATTGTTAAATCGCGGGACACAATGCGGCACAATAAAATATTTCACTGCGCCCCGCTGATCTAAAAAGGTTTGTTTTGAATAGTTGTAATTTATTTGTTGAATTCGGTGTTGCATTATCATCCGGTACGCGTCAATCAATATCTATTGTTTGCAATAAAAGTTGATCGAACAACAAAAATGCTTTTTTAGAAGAATCGTAAAACTTGTTTGCCTTATTACATCATTAGATATATGTTTAAAAACTGGTTTTTATTGAAAAGATGATTTATTTAGACGTTGATCATCAAATGATTCATCTTTGTTATATTTGGTTATAGAAAGTAACCTTGTAGAGCTTTACATTAATCTCAACTAACGTAGGTTTTACATATTAATTAACTTGCTTCAAAATATCATTTAGTAACATAATAAATTTTTGTTATTTTTGAAAATTATAAAACAAGATATTTTTCTTTTGATTAAAACGAAAAGGAAACAAACAATTAAGAAATTTTCCTCAATCCGATTCCCGGAGAGACATAATTGACTCGATTAAATCTTTAAATTAAGATAGTCGCTAATTATAAAAGGGAAGAGCGCGCACGCGCCATTGGGAATACCGCGAGCCTCAATTCTTGATCCGCTAGCATCGCCGTTTTAGTAGCGTGCTTGATGCTACGGTGGGGTGATGTAGTGCTTTTCAAATGTGTGTGTGCCATGCTCTCAGTGTAATTTTTAAGTTAAAACGAAGTGACAACAGTTTGTGTACACTTTTTAGTGATCGTTTTCCTCAATTTTACATAGTGTTATAAAATACGTTCGTTTTATTTGTATGAAAGTGATTATTTTTGAAGTGTGCGGTGTTTTTGGAATTTATCGAAACGAATATTATCAAGGATTTTTGAAATTTTAAATCGTGGATGTCTTCGAATGTTTATTGGTGAGTTGTTTTTTATTTCTATTATTCTCTTAATATTTTTTGTTCTATAGTATTATTGAATTCAATTTGGTTTGTTGAAAGTTGGTAAAGATGATGTTGGTGGAGGAGCTAGTACAATACTTTATTCAAACAATGCTTATTGTAAGAGGAGTTTAGTATAGAACTTTGTTATATATATTTGGCATTTATCAACCATCTATTTTCCAGTCAAATTGTTATGTGAATATTTTTTTGCATTGCAGTGTTTTTTATATTTTTGAATACATGAATAAATTTGCAATTGTTCGTTCGGTTTATAATAAAAAAAGGATGATAAAACTAAAAAAAGAACATATTGAATTGGTTGGGGTTTGTGTGGCGTAGGTTTTGAATGGTACATAGAGGCCGAAAAATATTCAAATTGGGGTATTATTGTGTCGATGAAAACGGAGGGAGATAACGTAATATATTGATAAGGCAGCCAGTGGCCGCGACCTCACTACAATGGCTTATGAAAATGGTCCAGCGGTCTCTTTGTTAACGGCCATTGTCATATGAGCCATTACAGAAGTCGCATCGTGCCCGGCCCTATTGACGGAGAATGGCACAAGAATGAGGCTCGCATTGTCGAAACGTTGTCATGGATAAAAATCATCGTTTCGCTGTTCTCCGCGACGTGCGCTGAAACGTAACGGTCCAGATTTAATGCCCCTTGCCCATTTCGGTGACATTCTACCACCGCAGCAGCACCGTGTCTCTGTATACCATCGTTGACGAAGAATACCGTGAATGGGTATGAGTAATGCGAGTGACTTCTTTGTTTGCCCACGGTAAATCAACAAGACGTCCACGGATAACAAAACTAAAAGCCCTTTATGCAGTGAAAGATATTGTTTGCGTCAAAAACATGTTTTATTAAAATCCTTTTATTCTTTTTACTTATTGAATACTTTTTATCAGTCGAAGAATACCACCTGACTCAATTCGGGTCGGTGGGTTTGAGTGTTTGTCCACATCGGTTGGCGGTCGAGGGTCGATCCAAAGACGACGTAAGAAGAGAGTCTCGGCCATTGTCGCGGAGTCTTCTCGAGCACGTGAATCAAGAAGAGAAAGACACCCGCGGATCCGCACAATGCCTATTCACTATTTAATCGCACATTGTGGCGCCGAAGATATAAAACATTCGAGGACCGCGCCGATATCGAGCCTTCGAATCGCCTCCGGACAATGTACCCCTGTTATAATAAACTTTTAATCCCGCAAGAAAGCGGTAGCAGCAACACGCGCTCTCCCGACAAAGGGAAGTGCAATTTTATTGCTTTTTGTCCCGCGATTGTTGTGTCAGGTTCTATTGTTATGTCGCGGTCCTTCGCCGTTGCCTTCGTCGAGCCGCTCGGTGGTGCGTTACGGAACAGGTGTATACGGCCGTCGGAGAAGGAAATGGCCCTTTGCGATGCCTCATACAACTAAGTTTGTTGACGTGGCCGTCATAACTAACCACTAAGTAGGAGGAGGTTTAATTTATTATGTTTCTATTGATCTTTTTCTTAAGTTTATTACTTACTTTATTCATGTTGTTACATACCATAAATTATATCTACCGTAAATGTTATCTATACTATCGTGGTAGATGGACATCGCGTGCGGTTAGGACACAATGCGGTCCCCATGAACAATGATCGAGTGAATCGCTAATTTGCCAGTGCGGTTATTTAAATCAATTGAAACGATCGAGCGAGCTCGCGCGCGGGCTGCCATCACACAAGCAGCCGCTTTATTGCGTCCACAAAGCAGATGATTTATACAGTCACAATGTAGCAAATGAAACAATCGCCGTGTGCCATCCCCTGCGTCGTGTCCCCCCTTTTGCACGTTGCGTCACCGGACACATGTTTGCCTTGCACTCGGCGGTGGCGCCGAGGGCAAACGGACCAGCTCTAATGGGGCCCGAAGAATTAGCAGCTGTCTGTGTGCCAGTGTGCGCGGGGGATACACCGCAATTGACACCTCGACAAACGGGGACGCCCCCGCCACCTAACGTTGACCGACGGCTTCCTTAATTACGCACCATGACTGTTTTGTTCGGACGCGATAACATCAATGCAAGCCGCGGTGAGGACAATTGACGATCGTTATGCGAGTCACTTGTCTCGTTCAATTGTTACGGGTGATTGTTGTGAAAGTGTATTTCTTGTTGTATGGTGTTTCAAAATGTATGACATACTATACGAGTAGGTATGGTTCTGCGAGAAGTAATCATGAAAGTTGAAAATTTTTTGTGCTGCTTAAAAAAAGGACAAGAATTTGCGGTGAGGTTTTCGTTTGAGGGTAAAGGTTGAGGTGTTGTTCTGGGCGTTTCCGGATGGATTGTCGATGGAAGGGCATTATGTTGAAAGCATATCCTCATCTCATAACCGCGGGATCGCCCCTAATGGAACAGACTTGTCTTTTTATTTCGCGCGCGCCTCTTTATATTCAAAGTAAGACACCGAGATTTATAGGGAACATAACTCAGCGCCGTTTGTGCCGATTGTACATTGTGCTTAACCACTGGTTCGAACGAGGTTTTGGCTAAGGTTTTTAAGGAACGATTTTTAGTAATAATAATTTTGCGATATTAGGCAAAAAAAAAAAAACGGCGGATAAAAGGGGAAAAATGGAGTTCACGAGGTTGGTAAAAGAAAGGGGCATTCATTATGTAGCGCTTTGTATTCACAATAAAATCTTTTTAAACAGAAAAGTCCGCAGACGTCGACGACGACGACGCCTGAGCGGCACTTATAAAACGCGAAAACAATTAAACAATGGGTCCGACTCTTGCAAAGAGAGTTAAAGAGTAACAATGTTAAGCAAGGCCACGAGCGTTTGACATTTTCTTGCGTTACATAACAATCGACGCCGTAAGACGTTTAAACAATGGCCATTCTACTCCCACCTAGCGGAAACAAAAAACATCCAACAAAGAGAGCGCGGTTTCAATTGTCACTATTCAACTCCTTGCGAAATAAAAGAGTGAGCCGTGGCGGAATCATAAAGGAGAGTTGGCCGTGTATTTGAGAATGATAAAAGCCGCTGGAACAAACATACAATGAGAATCAAGAGGGCTTTTGTCTGATAACCGACGTCACTGCTCGTCTTGGACACCACTGTACCACCGCCCATTCGTTCGCAGATCGATGTATATAAATCCACTTTATATACACATGAACCTATTATCATTATACAAAAGCTAATGTCTGTTACTATAACTTTGTTCATGTCTAATCCTTTATAAATCCATCATCAATTTTTTTTTCTATGTTATGCATACCACAATTGTATAACACCTAGTAAATACATACTAATTAGTTACTCATTTTTAACACCAAATTAAACTAGATAATGTTTTGAAGCTTTTCCCAGTGGTCCAGTCTGCTTTATCCATAATGTAGATAAATATTGTCATATTTTTACCGTTTTAAGACCAAAACAAAAACGATACGCGGAACACACGTTTAGGGTATTATTGTTTTTGTTATAATTCCGCACTATTGCTCGCGTTTGGATCGACTAGGGCACTAGGTCACTAAATCGAACGGCTTCATCCTCTGAAGGCGACGCAGGACATCCTCGTTGTCGAGAAGCTGGATGGCTTCGTGTTGGGATTCTCTTCTCATGTTTAGATGCGAATACGCAATAATGTTTAGTGCATTCACTATGCACCTTAGTACTTTGTTGTTTGAATCAGACTTGCATTTGTCTTGTAGGTACAACCCCACAGTTGGATTCCGTATGTCCATTTTGGTTTTAATACTTGCTTGTATATTAGCAACTTGT